GAGCCACCCAGGCACCAAATTACCATTCCTTTCCTTGAGTTCTACACTCAGATCCAACTGCCTTGACAGCTACTTCTGGGTGTCTCCTACACTGCATTTCTGACTCATCTGATCCTGTTAATTATCTTAATTCACCCCTGCCAGTATCCAATTCATCAACAAGCTAAAATATATTCCAGATCTGCCCATCCTTTCTCTTTGTCACCCTTGTCACCATATTACTTCTGATTTCTACACCTATTTCTTATCTTCCTCCAACCAATTCTAGACTCAGCAGTCAGAGGGACCATCTTAAAATGTAGACTAGGTCATGACACTTCTCTGTTTAAACTTTACAGTGTAGTCCTCCCCTACCTCATCTTTGCCACCCCTACTTACTACTCTCTAGCCACACTGGCTTTTCCAAGTCCTCATAAAAGCCAAACTCTCTGCAGACTCAGGGGCAACCATCCCCCTTCCCAGTCACTGCTCCAACTGGCCCCATGTTTCAGAACTTGTCTCCTTTTCATCCTTCAGGGTGGCTTTAATGTCTCTGCAGAATGGCTTTTCCTGGCCACCTTATTTGAAGTAAGTTCTTCCATCTCATTGTTCCCTATCTTCTCACCTAGTTTATTTTCTTCTTACCATCACCCTCTACTTTTTTCTTTTTATTTGTTTGGTTGTGTTTTTGTCAGTCTCTCATACTAAACTTCAAGCTAATAATGCAGGAATTATTATGCCCTGTGATTGTCTTACACGCCTGTATGCCCTGAGCCTAGCATACTGCCTGGCATAAAGTAGGTATGCCAAAGACTATGCTAAGTTGCATAAAAATAAGATTGCACTTAAATCTGCCTAACAACCCTAAGAGGTAGATATTTTTACTTCACAAGTGAGGAAACTGAGGCATAGAAAGGATAAGCAACTTAACAAGAGTCACATGGTTAGGAGGTAACAGGTGAAATTCGAACCTAGAGAATCTGATGCCAAGGCCAGCACTTTTAACCACTATGCAATACCTACTCCCGCATTCATTTCTATGGATGAAATAATGACTACACATATTAATTAATAAAGTGGAAGGGCGGACATAGATTGTACCCACAAGTCAGTATGCGGAAGTCAGAGAGGCTAATATTGAAGACCTCCCGTATTAAGACCTGAAGATTGAGTGTGCCAGACTGACAGGAGAGAAAATGTACCAAGGACAGAGACTCATACATGCAAAGACACAGAGGCAGAAGAGAGGGTTGTATGTTAGGAGGGGAACAAGTAGTTGTTTCCTTGGATTATAAAATGAGAAGAAAATAGGTAGAAAGTCAAAACTGATGAGTCTAAAAGGCAAAGTTTGTAGTCAACACTAAGCAGTTTAGATTTTTACCCTGTAGATTAAAGATTAGGAAGTGATTAAAGAAAATTAATCAGAATGGAGATACAATTAGGCTGTGATTTAGAAAACTCCCTCTGGCAGTGACATAGAGCAGTCTTCTTAAAGTTGAGCAGCCTACACTTCTTTAAGAGCAAAAAGTATCAGTGGACTTGGTGTCCACTGATACTTTCTGTACAAATACATAAGAAGACACAAACTCCTTAGTCTGGTACCTCTTATACAGTCATCAAACTGAAACAATTGTACATACTTCATAAGCCAAACTACAAATCAAATTAAATTTTAATTAACAGTAATTTAATGCAATGATGTTTTACTTAAACGAAATTGCCACTTAGAGCAGGCAGTGGTATTAACTATTTGGATGCACATTCGTTGGAGTTTGAAAAAAAGAGAAAAGGAGATCTGAAAAATATTGCTGGTAGATTTAAATTAGATCATCTTTAATGTCCTTCAGGAGTTATAGGTAAAGAACTTCCTCTTAAATTGTATTTTGGCTGTTGAACTATATTTGGCAGAACTATATTTCTAGAATGTGACATCTCAGATTGAACCTCAGTGAATCATAGCTTCTTTAAATACAAATGATGCTGGCAGGCTGGGTCCAGGGACCCAGAGGGGGTCCCCCAGGACCAACCAAAATGGTCCTTGGCTTCACATAGGATGGAAATCAAACATGAGCCAGCAGGAAGTGAGAGCAAAGTTAATTGAAGATATAGAGAGAGCAGATACAGATGGAGTGTCTGGGAGACTCAGAAAGGAAAGGAGTATGAGTCTTGTCTTTGTTTGACGTCTGGGGTTTTTTTACTGAGGATTGTGGCCTGGTATACCTGTCCTCTCAGGCATCCAGGGACTGGTTAGAATAAAGACAGGGCCCAGGTGTCATTCCTTGGAGCCAGCAGGTCTTGGCATGAGAAGCCTAGCTCCTGGTTGTCTGGAATATGCATATGATAGCTTTGTCCCATCATTCTCATCTGGTCCTTCCATAGATGTTCTATATTCTAAAGAAATCCTTAACTCCTTGTCCCTTACAAGGGTGACACACACTACATTCTGAGGCACGTGTAAAGTGGTGGTGCAGGTCGTAGCATGAACAGGAGCAGGAAAAGGAGCAAAAGCCACATTTTTAAGGAATTCTTCAGGTTCCCTATCTCACAACCACAACAATTTAAACTTTTTATATTTTTGCTTTTGTGTTAATCTTTTTTTTTAACGTTTATTGTTTTGAGAGAGCAAGAAAGAGACAGAGAATGAGTGGGGGAGGGGCAGAGAGCAAGAGGGAGACACCGAATTCAAAGCAGGCTCCAGGCTCTGAGCTGTCAGCACAGAGCCTGACACAGGGCTCAAACCCACAGACCACGAGATCATGGCCTGAGCAGAAGACGAACGCTTAACCGACTGAGCCATCCAGGCACCCTGTTTCTGTGTTAATCTTAAGATACATAATGTAGTGGCCACTGTTAGGCAAACAGGCTTGAGCAATAGAATGTAGAAAGGGCCCACAGCGACACTCTGGCTGAATACAGACAGGACCATCAGGCGACTCACCTCAAAATACCCATAGACCCTAACTAACCAGTGGACAGCAGTTACCAAAATAGAAAAAAAATTCCCAACGTTGCCATACCTCCTCACTTTCTCCCTTTAAATACAGCCCCCACTGCCTCATTGCAGACAGCCTCTCCTCTGCCGTCTTGCCCACTGCTCCCTTGTAGTATATTCAGTAAACTATCTCCTTTGTTCTGCCTTGGGTGAAACTTTTCACCCAGTCGTCACCCCACATTTGGGGGCCTTCATCGGATCAAGAGAGACACCACACTCAATATAAACATAGTCTGGGTCATCTTTATGACTACTTTATAACAAATTTCGATACCCACATTTACCTTTAAATTTATGATCCAATTACTACCATATCAGTTATTTTGGGTGGGTGTGAAGAAACAGGTGGGCTTAATGTGTGAATATTGCTTTCCAGTATTTCCAGATGGATGAAAGTTTAATAGATCCATGGGGCTCTACAGGAAAGAGGGTTGTTCAGTATTTCAGAGGAAACTAGAGGGAAAATTAAGAAAAGGATGGATCAAAGCTGAATCTGCCATTTACTGAGTGCTGACAATGTGCCAGGTACTGTGATTAACATTTTACATTCTCTATCACATTTAACCTTTACAAAAACCCCAGAAGATACATATTAGAAACCATTTCTATAAATGAGGAATCTGAGGCTTAGAAAGGTAGAGTCAGACAACTAGTAAATGGCAGAGCTTAGATTGGGACCACTCAAGACTAACTTCAAGTTTATGCTCTAAATTAGTAGGCAACACCACCTAAATGAAAGATTTTATAGTACTTAAGTGCTTTACCAAAAGGTGATTTGGTATTCTTATTTTATAAATCCAAAGTCATGTTGTATTGTGGCAAGTAGATTATGACAGATTTGTCATTAGGACAGGTTTCAATAGATTCGTCTTGAAAACATTGTGGCAACACAAAGTAAAGTCATATGTAGAGCAAGAGGCAAAAAACTTACTTAACACTAAATACCCCTAAGCAGTGTTAGTAGTAATCCCTTCCAAAATCAGTGATAACAGCTCCTGGAAACTAAGGTGTCAGGGAGCTGCTTTGCCACTAAATCATTTGTTTGAAGTTCAACATTTTTAGTTCTTAAAACCATGTTCCACTGTGTGTTGGATTTTTTTGTTTGGATTTCTTTGGAGGAAGGAAGTTATGACCTTAAAAGAGAAATATGACCCTCATAATAATAATAAAAAAAAATCACTGGTTCATTCAAGGAACCATTATGAAAATTTTCTAACAGACAAGATTAAGAGGAGTGGGAGAGATTTATCTACTCCCTAAAAATTTACCAAATTCGAATTCCAAAAATTCTTTTTCTTCATTTTCCGAAACATTTCCTTTAAATACTGGCTGGCATTTCGCATTTAATAAAAGTTGGTTTAAAAAAGATTAACATTTGATCAAAAGGGGCAGAGAAATGAATTGCTAAATATTAACAATGGAAATGAAGATGAATCACAAATGATGTTAAAGATATCTAAAATGATACAGGTCAATAAGAAGTGAAATTAACTTACTAGAAATAAATTAACATAAACCTTTGCAGTAATATTTGCGTGAAATTTATAAAGTAAAAACCAGGGCAGAGAAGCGGCGAGATCTCTTTCCATGGACCACAACACAAATTCTGTAATTGCCAGTTCACAGAAGCCAAATAATAATGAGTTGTCTGGTGGCTTCTCTTATTACTATACTTTACTTATTAAACATATACATTATTCTAGAACTTTTTAAAACTACGATAGCGCCCGAGCGCGCACAGACACACACACACACAAACACACACACACAAAAACACACACACACACACGGCATTACGTTTCCAATTGACTTTCACTGGTAGATACCTCAATAGGAAAAACAGGTTGTCACAACTGCGTTCAGTTATGTTTGACCCTCTCTAGTCTTCGTAGGAAGCGGCCAAGTAATCCGCAACCCCGCGTTCCCCGCCCCCAGGCACTACGGAAACAAAACTGCATAAGGCTCCGCCCCACCGTCTGCAGAGTGAGCCAATCAGGGTGCAGCCCGGGGTGATCGCGTGCCGGGTATCATGGCGGCTTGCAGGCGTTGCTGCTCGTGCCTGAGGCTTCGGCCGCTCGGCGATGGTACCCTCCGCCTGCCTGGGCGGGACCGGGCGCTCACCCAGTTGCAAGTGCGAGCACTGTGGGGTGGCGCGGGGTTCCGAGCCGTGGCCGTGGACTTAGGCAGCAGGTGAGTAACGGTGTACGTTCTCTGCCCTTTCACAAGGCATCCTGTCTAGCTATCGCATGTATATTCATCTCCCAGGCTAGAAATCCGGCAACACAAATCTCGTTTACCCCACTTTACCCCAAACGTAAAATGCTGGATTTCCCTTTCCGGGTTTGGAGTCTGTCTCCTGGTACCCTCCCCTTTGCCGCGCTGTCTCAGCCTCATGTCCTTTGCCTCTCGGTCCTCCCTTTTACCCTGTTCCGGTTTCCTTTCTCCAGCTGAGTCTGTGTACTTGGCTTTCATCTCCTTTATTTGCTTGGATTCCTGGACTCCTAAGTGGGTAACATTCCACCTCGGGATAATGAGTTGATAATGGATGCCTACGTCATCCAATCCAGTTTATTGTTTAAATGCGTGGCCAGTATGACCCTGGGTAGGAAGGGAAGGAAAACGTCAGTTTATTGAACGCTAGTTTTGTGATACACTCTTTTTAAACCTGTGGTAAACGTGCTGTTACCCCATTTCATAGTTAAAACAGAGGCTCAGAAAGGGTTAGTAACTCTCTCAGAGTCAACAAAGCCAGTACTTTGAGACTAGGTGGATTTTATGTTTCTCTCCAAGCCCATGCTTCTACTAGGGGTCCGTTTGTCACAATTCACGTCTAAAATAACAAAATGGATCCTTTTTGGAATAAATTAAATTGCTACTTACTTTATATATCTATCTTTTTTACATATACTTTAAAATTCTTTGACCCTCGTTCGTGCAAAAAGTTGAAAAATCTGTTTTGGATTACAGGTCTTGTTTCCTAACTTACCGAATCCTGAACAAGTTAAGTTTTTTGTGGCAAAATGAGAACACTGGTCTAGGTCAAGGGTCAAACTTTTTCTGTAAGGGGCCAGATGGTAAATACTTTAGGCTTTGAGGACTGCATACTGTCACATATTCCTGTTTACAAACCCTTTAAAAATGTAAAAAAAATAAGTAAATAAATATTAGCTGAAAGGCTGTACAGAAACAGGCTATATAGTTTATTGATCCCTAAACTAGATGATCTCTAAGCACCCTTTCCACTTCTGACATTCTTTGATTCTGATTTTTTGAGGGAGAGGATATCTCTTCCATTATTCAAGGACTTAACATTCTTTGAAGAAATGCCTTAGCAGGGGCACCTGAGTGGGCTCAGTTGTTTGAACATTAGACTCTTGATTTCCGCTCAGGGCATGATCTCAGGGTTATGGGATTGAGCCCTGCGCTGGGTGTGGAGCCTCCCTGAGATTCTCTCACCGTCTCTCTCTCTCTCTCTCTCTCTCTCTCTCTCTCTCTGCCCATCTTCCCCACTTGTATGCACGTGCTGTCTCTTTTTCTCAAATAAATAAAAAGAAATGCCTCAAAGCATTTCATTCAACAGACAGCTACTGTGTGCTATACAGACTCCTTTAATGGACACAAAAGCAACAGTATTAGTCCCTGCCTTTCAAATTTTCCATAAACAATCTACTTTAAATATTTCATTTATTAGTCAGCCTGAAAGTTCTTTTAAACTGTGTCATGTGTTTTAACAACTAGATTCATAAATAACATACCCGCTGGGTAAATTAGTTCCTTCATCTTTGTCTTGTTTTTTGTTTGTTTTTTTTTTGTTTGGTTTTTTTTTGCAGCATTTATTAAATTTGACTATGTACCATTCACTTTATATTTGTTATCTTGTATATTATTTACAATACACTATAGATTATATACTGTTGTGGTTTTTCAAATGCTGTACTTAATACTCAGAGTAACCTTTGAGGCAACTGTTTAATTTTCATTTCAACATTTTTTTTCTTTTTTTAATGTTTACTTTGAGACAGAAAGTGCATGCACATGAGTTGGGGAGGGGGAGAGAGAAAATCCCAAGCAGGATCTGCACTGTCTGCGCAGAGTCCAACGCAGGGCTTGAGCTCAGGAACCATGAGATCATGACCTAAGCCGAAATCAAGAGTTGGATACCTACCTGAGTAGGTATCCAACAAGCTTTTATTGAGAATGTACTGTGTACAGGGCACTGGAGATACAGAATCTGATGAGGGAGTAAGATAAACACAGGTTTGGTGCTGGGAAAATCACTGTGGTCGAGGTATGGATGGGGTGCCAAAGGAGAGCAAAGGCATATTCCATTCTAAAGCTTTCCATTGAAGGTGAATCTTGAGGGGTGAGGAGGAGGAATTAGCAAGGAGAAAGAGGTAAGTGCAATTACAGGGAAGTGAGAGAGTGTATTTGAGTAACTACAAATAACTCAATGTGGATGAAGCAAAAGGTAAAATGTGAGTTTAGCATCAAAGGTCAAATGACATAGGCAGAGTCCAAATCATAAAGATGTTTGTTTTTTTAGTTTTGTATTACTCAATTTTTCTCTGTGGAAGTTGGAGCAAGGTGGTTACATTCCACATCATTCTGCAGATGTTTCTAAAAAATTTTTTTCAATGTTTATTTTTGAGAGACAGAGAGAGCATGAGCAGGGGAGGGGCAAAGAGGAAGGGAGACACAGAATCCGATGGAGGTTCCAGGCTCTGAGCGGTCAGCGCAGAGCCTGACAAGGGGCTCGAACCCACGAACTATGAGATCATGACCTGAGCTGAAGCTGGACGCTTAGCCAACTAAGCCACCCAGGCACCCCTAAAAATGTTCTTTAAGCATCTCTCTCCCTGAAGTTCTACTCCCTGTAGCAGCTGGCTCTGCTCTTCCCTTTCTCTTCCTCAGCTACCTTTTCCCACTCTTCTCCCCGCCAACAGAATCTCCTTGCTCATCCTAATCCTTTTTATTTATTTTTTTCAAGTGTTTTTTTTAATTAGGTAAACATTCACATGAATCAGCATTTTAAGAAGTTCAAAAATCTCCTTCCCATATGGTTCCATAGCTGCCTAATTCCAGTTCCCAAAGGCCACTTGTGTTACCAATCTTGTATGCATCTGGAGATATTTTACACATAAAATACTGGAGAGTAAGTTGTTAAAAGGTAAAACCAACTATGAAGTATAAAAGTAATAACCAGTTTGCACTAAAAACAGAACCAAAACTGCATGAATAGGAAAAAAATTACAAGGTCAGGTAACATCAGCTGAGATCATGAGATATAATGAAAAGTAACCGGCTAGATCTTTGTGTAATATAAATTGCACACACCTGGAAGAAAAAGAGTTCAAATTAGGGAAATCATCAAGGCAGGACTATAGGGCTGTCTGGTGTGTGAGCTAGGACCGCTGATGGAGACACTGGGTAGACTCGAGAAGGAACAAAGACGGCAGGAAGATGGGATGTTTGAATAAATACATAAATCCAAGCGTGCACGTCTAAGATCTAGGGGCACTGCAGACCTGTTTGTTTTTCTCACTCAGCTCCCATTGTAAACAAGTTAGCTTTGGAAGCTTAACAGTGTTGCCTTCTCTCTGCTTCTCTGCCTGCTGATAGAACTGGGAAAGGCTGGTTCTTAGGAGAGGAGTGGGTCCTCTACTCCTTGCCTCAAGCTTTCTTTGTATGTGTGCTCTGTTTGGTACACTGCTAGTCCCTACACAGGTGGGGCTATGTGACTGGTTTTCACCAGCAAAACCTAATATGAAGTGATACAGGTTATCCACAGACTGAAGTATTTATTTTATTCCAGTGATGCTTACCATTATTCAGAGAGAACCCATGTTTTAACATTTGTTCTCTACTGCCTTCTCTTCGTCCCCTATACAACTTATATCCCCTTTAAGAATAAAGACTTAACCATCGCTGAAGATACTCAATATGCCACTGTGGGCAATCTCAAAAACTGGGGCAAGAGCCCTATGAATGGAATAGAACTGTAGCTTTCACAGCTCTTCTGTCTTGGGCCCACTTCAATTTATTTAGAGATACTCTCCCTTTCACAGGGATCACTCAGATATTCAGAATTTGCATTATTGGATGGAATGCCAATTCCTGATAAATCTTGAGAAACAGTGGTAACGTATTCATATTCCAGATTACACAAAATTTCAAGACCCTAAATTTACATTTTACACATAAAACCTTAATACTGATTTCAGCTATAGGTTGGTGGGGCTCTGCTTAAGGCTCCAGTGTTACTGGGTCTAAGCATCTCATTCCCTCCACCTTCTATTCCAGCTTCATTCTTATCTCTGCATCTCATTATTCCATCTCTCAAGGTAAACCCATTTTATTATAGGCTGTCATTGCAACATCTGTGTTGAATGTCTCAAATATTTCTTGTGATTAAAAAAAAATCCTCATAGTTTTTCAAGACTGATAACACAAGTGTACATGCTTTTTTTGATTTTCAAACTTAACAAAATGAGACTATCTGAATAGGTAAATATGCTTTTCATGAACTCAGACTTCTGACAGAAGTGTTTAATGAGTAGAAATATTGAGTGATCTCTTTATCCCGTTTGTATATAAAGTACAGAGGCAGGGCATTGTGTGTGTGTGTGTGTGTGTGTGTGTGTGTGTGTGTGTGTTCAGCACTGGGACTTGGTAGAAAGTTTTGGAAGCTGCTTTCATGGGACAGAACATTTTCCTCCGTATCTTCAGGAGTCACTGAGTTGGTAAGGCTTCACAATACTCTGATGAATTTTAGTTTCTTTGACAAGTTTTGCTGATCTGTTTCAAGCCTTCATTAACCTCTTTTTGTACTCACCAGAAGCTGGGAAATAATGCTAATAATACTGACTGTTTATTATATATAGAGACAGCTTTATTAGGATATAATTTACATGCCATACAATTTACCCATTTAGAATGTACAATTTGGTGGTTTTTAGTGTATTCACAGTTATGCAGCCATCACCACAATTTTAGAACATTTTCATCGCACCCAAAAGAAACCTCAGACCCATTAGCAGTAACTTTCCGTTTCTCCCCAAACTCCATAGCCCTAGGCAACCACTAATCTACAGACTTTCTGTCTGTATGGGTTTGCCTATTCTGAGCATTTCATATAAATAGAATATGATGAGTGGTCTTTTGTGACTGCCTTCTTTCACTTACTATGTTTCCAAGGTATATCCATGTTGTAACATGTATCAGTACTTCATTTTTTAATGGCTGAATAATATTCCACTGTATGTATTAGACCACATTTTGTTCATTCATTGACATATTTTGATTGTTTCCTTTTTGAGGCCATTATGAAAAATGCTGTGGCTATGAACGTTCATATGCAAATTTTTGAATGGACATACAGGTTTTCATTTCTTTTTATTATTATTTTTTTGTTCTTTATGGTTTTTTTTTAATGTTCTTTATTTTTTTGAGAGACAGAGCACGAGTGGGGAGGGGCAGAGAGACAGACAGAATCTGAAGCAGGCTCCAGGCTCTGAGCTGTCAGTACAAAGCCCAACGTGGAGCTCAAACTCACAAACAATGAAACCGTAACCTGAGCTGAAGTTAGATGCTCAACAGACTGAGCCACCCAGGTGCTCCTCTTTTCTTTTTTTTTTTTTTATTTTGAGAACGAGAAAGCATGTGCACAAGTGGGAGAGGAGAAGAGATGGGGGGACAGAGGATCTGAAGCAGGCCTCACACTGACAGCAGATAGCATGATGTGGGGCTCAAACTCACAAACCGTAAGACCATGACCTGAGCTGAAGTCAGATGCTTAGAGGACTGAGCCACCTAGGCACCACCCAAGTTTTCATTTCTCTTGATTATATACCTTGGAGTAGAATTGCTGGGTCATATGGCACTTCTGTGTTTAATCTCTTGAGGAATTGCCAGATTATTTCCCAAAGGAGATGTACCATTTTGCATTTCCATTAATACTGTATGAGGGTTATAGTTTCTCCATATCCTCACCAACACTGTTTATTGATCTGTTTTATTATAACCATCCTTGTACATGTGAAGTCATTATCTCATCTTGGTTTTGACTTGCATTTCTCTGGCGGTTTACGATGTTGAGCATATTTCCATGTATTTACTGGCTATTAGTAGATTTTCTTTGGATAGACTTCAAATCCTTTGCCAATTTAAAAATTAATGTTGTTGGTCTTTCTATTGAGTTGTAAGAATTCTTTACATATTCTAGATACAAGTCCCTTACCAGTTACACGCTTTGCAAATACATTCTTTTATTCTGTGGATTTTCTTTCACTTTCTTGATATCCTTTGAAACATGAAAGTTTTTAATTTTGATAAAGTTCTATTTGTTTTTGTCTTTTGTCACTTGTGTTTTTGATGTCATATATAAGAAGATGTTGGCTAACCCAAGTTTGAAGATTTACTCCTATGTGTATTCCTAAGAATTTTATGGTTTTAATTTTTACATTTAGGTCTATACTCTGTTTTGAGTTAATTTTTATTTATAGTATGAGGAAAGGAAGGGGTCCAGTTTATTAACTTGTTTGCATATAGATATCCAGTTGTCCCAGTACCATTGGTTGAAATGGCTATTCTTCCCCCCTATTGACTTGTCTTGGCACCATTATTGAACATGAAGGTCTTGTAAGCAATATTTAAAAATTATATTTTGTCCTGAAAGCATTGGAGAATATTTTAAAGGATTGTAAGTAGGGAAATGATTCAGTGTGTGAGTTAAGAGTCTACTTTTATCAACAAGACAAAGGTTGTAAACTAAGGTTGACAGACTAAGGTTGTAAACGGGAAATAACATTTAGGAATGTAGTTAGCTTCTGCACCCCCAAAATACTTTATCTTTCATTCAGATTATTTCTGTGCATTGGTTTCTATATTTTTCCTTAAGCAGCTCTTAAATTCCCCTAGTACTTTTGATAATAATTGTGAACTTTATCCCTTTTTTGTTTGTTTTTTGCTGGGTGGGAGCCTGTGTGGCTTGGTTCTTCTGTTAGATATTTTAGAGTATTTTATACTAAGCTGGAATTTGTACTGATGACCTAAGTCCTTTTGTATTGAATTTTTATTTTTAAACAGAAAGTTAGAAATATCCTCTGGAAAACTGGCCAGATTTGCAGATGGCTCTGCTGTAGTACAGGTAAAAAGTCCAGATTTTAAAATTTTCATCTTAAAAATGGTTATGGAGACTGGTACTGTCTTTATAGCATCATATAACTTCTTAGAATTGTGGTATTGGAAATTAATGCAGACCATTTCTAGTTTCAGAACCAATCCAGAGAAGTAGGGAGTCAGAAGGCTGGATATATTAAATGACCTTTAAGATGTGTTCCAAACTTAGGGTTCTGTTTTATTCTGTTAATATATTCTGTAATGCTTTTCTAGAGAATGTGATTTTACTTTTTTCTTTTAATAGTAATAACTGAGAAATCTTTATATATATCCTAAATTTCTTCATAAGAAGTAGAAAATATGATTGGATGTGGTTAAGCTATCAGTAAGCCTCTTGTTTTAGTTCTATTGCTTTTGCAAAGCTCAGCAACTGTTATAAAACAGATCATGATCTTGTAGAAAGGATCAAGATTGGACTAGTTGTGATTATTTTCATTATCATGGTGTCTTGGGATAACTGTTCTTTTGTATTGAACTGGAGCAAGGATTCATTCAGTCACTACTTATATGTTAATGTCTGATTTTTAAGGAATTTGCCAGTGTTGTTGTTTATGTTTAAGTCAGGTGACACTGCAGTGATGGTCACAGCAGTCAGTAAAACAAAACCTTCACCTTCCCAGTTCATGCCTTTGGTGGTAAGTATTTGCTGATTTATTTAAACAGTAATATGGCACAAATGTAGAATTTGCAGTATTTTTGTCTAGTGTCTAGTGAGTGCACAATGTAAACTTTGCACAGTAAAGGATTTTCCTTAGTTGATACTGAGTCATTATGACTGATTCCTTCATAACCAATTCTCGTATTAGTAGTAAGCATACTTCAGAATGTCCAGGTTGACAACAGTGAAGTGCATTAATACTTTGATGCTGAATAGCAATGAATTCATTGCTTTCATAGGTTTCCCTTCAGTATGAGTCTGCAAGTATGTTTGGTGAAGAGTAAAGAGTTCTTTAGGAGTTTATGGCTTCCTTCTATTATGAAAAGGGGAATGCAGTTTTATTGAACAGAGTTGATATAAAAAAGGGAACGTTTAATTTGCGTAGAATAAGCCACTGTGGGAAGTAGTGAGGCTACGTAGTCCTCTCACTGCTAAGTGGAGGGCTTTTTAAAAATCAATTTACTGAAATACTTGTATCAGCTTTCACTTCCCAAAGACATACAAAACACTAAAAGTAAATAAAATATTCTCCATTCTTAATCTGGACCATATTGTTAGCAACCTCAGGAGAATTAGTATCTGAATAGTGGTTCTTGGGAAATAGTTGCCATAAAAAGGAGTTAAATGAACTTCATTTTTTTTTTTCATTACTACTTCAGGTTGACTATAGACAGAAGGCTGCTGCAGCAGGTAGAATTCCCACAAACTATCTTAGAAGAGAGATTGGATCTTCTGATAAAGAAATTCTTACAAGTCGAGTAATAGGTAAGATATTAATACAGAGACATTAACTCTCTCTGATATGCTTGTGTTAGCCTTTCTTCTGTCTATATTCTACAGTTCCCTTAAATGTTCTTCCATTAAGTTAACACTGCCTGAGGTTATTTACTTTCATGTGGGGTCCATGAAAGAAAAAATTTTGTTTATTCACTACTGAATCCTGGGTACTTGGTATACCACCTGGCACAAAATGAGCATTCAGTAAATACAGGTCGATGAAATGAATGAATCTCTGTTGACAATATAAATTCCGTGGCTCATGCCTCTACTGCTCTAGTATTTTTCATTTTCATATTCAGCATAGTAATTCCTGAAAGCATTATATTCAACTACTGAAATGTGCCTGCAATCTTTCAAATCTTTGACATCTTTAAATATTGTGGGATCATTTGAGTTTATAGCTCTGTTACAACAGAAATTGTTAGTTTGTGTATATGTATATGCATTCTTCTGACACAAAATACCTCGAAAGATTTTCTTTTGGTCTGTTATTGGCCTTAAGTCTCTTTCCTCTGCTTATATATGTAACTGATGCCTTTGGAACAGAAATGAAAAGTTGCTCCCCAATTTTAGACTTGTGTGCTCCAGCCCTGCTAGTTTTTTGTTATTAGGGCATGTATAGATTAATTGAAGCACTGACATTTATCCATGACCCTCTCAGTAAGTCAGTCCAAGGGGATTTTTTTTTTTAACATCTGAACAGCTACCTATATTATTTTCCAGCCTGGTGTTTAATAGAGTGAAAAGGTTGAATTATAAAGCAACTTTTGTCAGTACTATTTACTTTTCTTTTTCTTTTGGCAGATCGTTCAATTAGACCTCTCTTTCCAGCTGGCTACTTTTATGATACACAGGTAGATTCTGTTTTACGTTTGTTTCCAGATTAATCAAAAATTACATAATGAATCTCTATAATACTACTTAGGCTAAATATTAAAGAACAAAATAAGAATTTTTTGTGATGCTATTTTACATTTTTTTAAAAAACATACTAATAATTTTAAAAATTAGTATTAATCTGATGTCAATTTGAATTGATACTGAATTATGAGTAGCAGTTAGCCAACCTAGGAGTGTGGAGGAAGCATTCTGAGCAGATGGGGGGGGAAGCACAAAAGCTCTGATGCAGGAAACAGGGTTTAGAGCAAAAGTTTATAGCAATTAAGGAGGTCGGGGACAGATCAGGCTGGGGCCTGAAAGTCAGATTAGTGTCAGAGGCTAGGACAATCACTGCAACTAGTTTTTATTACCTATTTTTATTGGGTCCTCTTCTACTTTATTATATTTTAATATTTTGTGAATATTACTCTCTGAATAATGACCCATTAATTTACTTTAATTAACTTTTATTTATTTGACAAAAATAAATATGCCTTTGCAAGGATGCCTCAAGAAGTTTTCTCTCTTTTAAGTTGTTTTCTTGAGTATATGACATAGGCGTATTATTGCAGTGTAATAATAAAGTAATTCACTCATTTGTTTTCTATATGCTTGTTAATAGAAAACAGTATTTTTATGTAATAGAAATAGCTAACATTTACTAAATATTTTCAACATGCCCAATATTGTAAATGCTTTACAAATAATATTACCTTTAACTTACAGAATATCTTTTAGGGAGGTGCTATTATCTTTCCCTTTTAAATATAAGGAACTTTTTGAGGCTTAAGTAATTTGCCATAGTCAAGCATGTAGTTAAATGATAGCCAGAAATAAGGGTTTGACTATAAAGTCCATATTTTTAACCACATGGTGATCCTTTATTTTAGTTCAAGATGTTAACAAAAATGATAATCCTCCTAAATCAAGTAGATTTTTTTTTTAAGTGCTTTAAATTTTTCCCTTTGTACCAGGTACTTTGTAATCTGTTAGCAGTAGATGGTGTTAATGAACCTGATGTTCTAGCAATTAATGGTGGTAAGTTTAAAAATCGAGATTAAAATTATCACCTTTTTTTAAAGGTATGAAATAATTTTATTTCAGCTCTTATTTTTTTTCTTTGTTTTTGTTAAGCTTCTGTAGCCCTCTCATTATCAGATATTCCTTGGAATGGACCTATTGGTAAGTTAGGATTTGAAAATAAGAAACATGTTTTTTACTAGTGAGCATGCTATAGCAAGGGCATAGATTTACTGGCTCTGTAAATCTCATAGGGAGTTTAGTTAGATGACCATCTAAGATTCCTTTTTGAGATATTTTCATCCTTGCCTTGAGTTTTATTTCTGACAGCAATAAGTTATAGTGTTAGAGACTTTTATGTTCCTAGATACTTTGACTTCTTAGTTGCCTCCTCTGTTTAAGGACTTTTTGCGGGGGAATAGGAAATTGTTAGAGTACATAGTCTTTCAGGATAAAACAACATGTTTAGAACTTAATGACTCTTAAAAGTTGTATTCATGCAATATAAAAAAGACTCATCAAGTAAGTAATTTTTGAATATCCTAAATGCCAGATACTAAGGTAAAAACTGAAGGAATAAAGGCAGACTAGGCACAATTCTTGCTTTCAATGTAAGCAGGGGAAACAATTATTTATAAACAGCATTATAAAAGTGTAGTAAAAATGGTAAGAAAATGATAGAAAAGGGTGGGTTTAGTCTTGTGAAGTCAGGTTGTCAAGGAGGGCTTTCAGAGTACTCACCATTAAAGCTGAACCTTAGTAGGATCAGATGGTAAGCATTTGCCTTGGAGAAAGTACAGTCTAGCCCAAGAAAAGAGCATGAGCATAATCACAGAGGTATGGAAGAAATAGTGTATTTGAGCAATTCAGAGTGCTCTAGTGAGGCCAGAAGGTAAGGTGGGGTAGGATGTTCTGTGGGCCTTAAATACCATGGTAGATATATGGATTTTATTGTAGTCACATTTAAAGATAGGGATTGAAGCTATCACTGAAATAATGTCTTGAAAACTGAGTTTTTATTGCACAACTGCCTGTATTTTGATATATCTTAGGGGCAGTCCGAATAGGAATGATTGATGGAGAGTGTGTTGTTAATCCAACACGGAAAGAAATGTCTTCCAGTACTTTAAATCTAGTGGTTGCTGGAGCACCTAAAAGTCAAATTGGTAAGTAGTTTACTACATTTGTTCTGGATTTTACTTATAAATTCTGGCTCCTTAAAAATGCATTTATATACTTCTGTGTATTTGTGTTTTGTCAATTAGCCATAAAGATTTTTGTTCTGTTTTATTGCTGCCCTATTATGGTAGTGCTCTTGCTACATATCAAACAATACCTAGAATTATAGAATGTTGTACAAGTTTAATTGAAATCTACAAAAATTTTTATTTTCCACGACAGTTCTGGTAATTATTTTTAGACTAAAAAGCTAGTCTAAAAATTGAATTTCTAAATCTGATAATAAATTGTTTTATTAGTTTAAATTATGTTAATTTAGCTAATTCATCATTCAAAACCTGCTTAATGTCCTCTGAAAAAGAGGTGACCTATTTCTAGTAGGTAGAAAACTAATGAAGAAATGCATTGACCATAGGTTACCCTCGCTCCTCGTAACAAAAATGTCATAATTGTATGAATGAAAAGTGGCATAGTTCTGTTGAAGGAGAATTGGCTTCCACAGTCAAAATAACCTGTGCTTGAAACCCAACAGCTGCCACACAGTTAACTGTGTAACCTTGGACAAATTAATTAAGGTCTCATATCAGTGTATTCTGTGTGATATTTGATATCTGGGACTTTCTGACATGGGATCTTCTGATGTGGGAATATTTTGATGAAATGTAAACTACTGAGCTTTTATTACTTTTTTGTACAATTAACATATGAAATACCTCATTTCCAGCTTCTTTTGGAATACTGGTCAGTAATGGAGATGGAATCTGGTACTATATGGTAGATAAAACACATATAATAGGAGTTGTATGTTATCTACATATTAGAGATTGTGTTGGTAAAATAAATAACAAGTGGGTCCATGACAGTTATAGTGGCTCTATGAGATCTTAAGAAATGTGGATTCCTTTCAGTTTTCTGCCCTGCTATCCTCAAGGTGTGGCCCTTATTTCATGCTTATGAACTGGCTACTGGAGCTCTGACCAACTTAGCTAATTTGTAGGCAAGAGGAAGGAAAAAGGAGGGGAATAACAAAAAGGTGTATGCCAACTGAGTAAGTCACCTTCCCTTTCAAGGAGCTTTCCTAGAGCCCTGACATAGCAGTTTTCACCTACATCACACTAGGCAGAACGGTAACACATGACTGCATCCTTGACTATAGGGGAAGCAAGGAAATGTTTTGGATTCTACCTCCAGAAGGTGAGATTCATACTGTAGGGAACTATTACAATGTAGAGAGAACATTGCAAAGATTTGGGGAAGCCATGAATAACAGATGACTCTTACATACTTGAACATCTCAGAAGGGGCCTTGAGCAAAGTGTTGATTTACTGTCTAAAGTTTACTTGGTCTGAATCTGAAATTTTTTTTGCTTAAAAATAGTGTTACAAATGAACAAGTAGTGTTCATTACTTAGTAAATTATTTTTTTATAGGGTTGTTGTGAAGATTAGAGTCAGGATTTGTAAAGTACCTAACATAATATCTAGTACCTAGTAGGCATACCGTTCATACCTGCTGTTATCATTCAGACACAGAAATTAACTTGCTTCAAAATTTATAACATATAAATGGTCATATATATAGCCTCTACCTACTTTGGACTTTGAACTCCTCTAATTTTATGTAGATGTTGGAGGAATGAACTAAGGATCTTTATTGCATCTATGGCATGCTGTAGAAACCTCACAGGCAGCCTTCTACTTGTTCTTACCTCCTGCTCTCTAGGTGGATTGCTCTCTTGCAGTCTAGAGACTGAAGAAACCATCAGAAGGTTATCTTGAGTAACTAGGAGACTTAGAGTGATTCAGAAGCAACCTCTTAAAGGACTGGTTTCAGAAATTACCAGCCTCCATTTTATGTCTTTTGCCATCACTGTCTCCATGAGGATATTCAGCCAGTTCTCTACTTTGATAACGATGCACCAGATACACATTTTACTTCATGTTTCATGTGTTAAAGTTAATATTGGGCCCAAGTCATGGAACTTCTGGGATACAAAAATACAGAAAAGTAATTAATTACTGCCATTCCATTACTTAAAAATTTAGTAATCCAAATCTTTAAAGCATGACCTTATAGGGGAAGAATAATTTCTTTGTGCTTTTAGCTGCCAGATGACTTCAGCAGCCATCATTCTACACATTCTGCTTGTGTTCAACTGGTACACTTAATATCACTGATCTTTCTACATGTGCTAGGATATAATTTAGGAAAAAGTATACCAGTAACAATTTTTAAGAACTTTATATCTAGAATTTATAGTTTTCAACTAATCTCAAAAATCTTCAACTACTTAAAATGGTTAACAGTTTAGAGCAAGCATTTAGACAAGCTATTTTTGTGTAAATTTTTAGCCTCTATGGCAGTGCTGTCCAGTAGAACTCTGCAATGAAGTAAATGTTTTATATTTGAATATGTAGCAACTGAGCTTTGAAATGTGGCTAGAATGGCTAAGGAACTGGATTTCAAATTTTATATAATTTTAATTTATTTAAATGCAAATAATTATATGGAACTAATAACTGCCATATTGGACAGCACGGGTCTATAGATACAAAACTGTAAGGAATTTCTTATCAAGTATTTTTTAAAATGAGTTGCTTTGAAGTTTAGTGAAAACAAAGTTTGAGGAATTTTTTGTTGTTGTTGTTGTTAGGGAGCTTCATTCTCATGTTTATTTTACTAAAATCTCACATTGTGCTTGAAATATCCCATCTCTTGTTTATCATGTTATTTTTTTTCAATATATTAAATTTATTGTCAAATTGGTTTCCATACAACACCCAGTGCTCATCCCAAAAGGTGCCCTCCTCAATACCCATCACCCACCCTCCTCCCACCCCCATCAACCTCAGCCCAGTTTTGTTCAGTTTGAGGAGTGTCTCTTTCTTTGGCTCTTTTCCTCTAACCTCTTTTTTTTTTTTCTTCCCCTCCCCCATGGGTTTCTGTTAAGTTTCTCAGGATCACATAAGAGTGAAACCATATGGTATATGTCTTTCTCTGTACGCGAAACTTATTTCGCCAGCATCACTCTCCCAGTTCCATCCCGCGTTGCTACAAATGGGCCATATTTCATTCTTTCAATCTTGCCATGTTGCCCTCCATTGTGTATATAGTAATTTCTTTATCCATTCGTGAGTTTGATGGACATTTAGGCTCTTTCCATAATTTGTTATTATTGTTGAGAGTGCTGCTATATTGTTGATGGGGTACAAGTGCCCCTATACATCTGATACTCCTGTATCACCCTGAGTAAATCCTAGCAGTGTTACTGCTGGGTCATAATGTCAGGTCCATTTTTAATTTTTGAGGAACCTCCACTGTTTTTTTTTCCAGAGTGGCTGCACAGTTGCATTCCCACAGCAACAGTGCAAGAGGTTCCAGTTTCTCCACATCTCTCCAGCATCTAGTCTCCTGATTTGTTCATTTTTGGCCACTCTGACTGGCGTGGTGATACCACAGGTGTGGTTTTGTTATTTCCCTGATGAGGAGGCGATGTTGAGCATCTTTTCATGTGCCTGTTGTTGGCCATCGGATACCAGAGAAGTGTCTATTCATGTTTTCTGCCCTATTCACTGAGTTTATTTGTTTTGGTGTGGAGTTTGGTGAGCTCTTTATAGATTTGGGTACCCCAGCCCTTTGTCCGATATGTCATTTGCAAAACCTCTTTTCCCATTCCGTTGGTTTGCCTTTGAGTTTTGTTGGTTGTTTTGCTTGCTGTGCAGAAGCTTTTTTATCTTCATAAGGTCCCAATAGTTCATTTTTTGCTTTAATTCACTTGCCTTTAGAGGGGATGTGTCAAGTAAAAGAAATTGCTGTGGCTGAGTCAGAGGTCTTTCTTGCTTTTTCTCCTCTGGGAGTTTGATGGTTTCCTGTCTCATTCAGGTCCTTTATCCATTTTAGTTTATTTTGTGAATGGTGTGAGGAAAGAGTGGTCTAGTTTCAGTCTTCTTCCGTATTTTGTCCAGTTCTCCAACACCATTATTTGAAGAAGACTGTCTTTTTTCCGTGGATGTTCATGTCCTATAACTTTGTCAAAAGGTCATGGCCGTACGTTTGTGGGTCTAGTTCTGGGGTTTCTATTCTACTCCATTGGTCTATGTGTCTGTTTTTGTGCCATTAATTTTCTTTATTATATTCTTCCTTTCATATTCTTTTAAATGAATTTATTGAGGTATAATTTACATTTGTCAAATACATTTTTAAAAATCTTCAGTTCAGTGGCACCTGGCTTGCTCAGTCGGTTAAGCGTCTGACTTTGGCTCAGGTCATAATCTCGCGGTTTGTGGGTTCGAGCCCTACGTTGGGCTCTGTGCTGACAGCCCAGCACCTGGAGTCTGCTTGAGATTCTGTATCAACCTTTCTGTCTGCCCCTTCCCTGCTCATGCTCTGTCTCTGTCTCTCAAAAATAAATGTTAAAAAAAAAAAACAGTTCAAATTAATCTGAAAAGTGAGAGGATGTCATGGGAATACTGATGAGAAGAAGAATATAACCATTTCAGTGTCATGGTGACAGAAAAGCTGCTTCATATCTCAAGGAAGTATTGAAACTTTACCTTGCCTTACCCTCCCCCATTTGTAATATAACTTTTAATATTCCACTACATTTAGAACCACAACAGGCTGTTAAAATTTTTTCTTTTGCTTCAGCCATCAAACATAATTTAGAAAACTCAAGAGGAGAAAGAAAGTGTATTTACCTACATTTTTGCTTAACAGGTATTTTTCTTCCTGATATTCCATGGTTTCTTTATTGTTTCTGTTTAGAGAATTTCTGTTAGCCATTCTTTTAGGGTAGGGCTGCCAGTGACAAATTTTCTTAGTTCTCCTTCATCTAAGAGTATCAGTTCATTCCTAAATATTCATTCCTTCATTTATTTATTTCATAAATATTTTTACTGGGTATGGGATCCTGGGTTGACAGTTCTTTTCTTTCAGCACCTAAAAAATATTATGCCACTTCCTTCTGGCCTCCATGGTTTCTAATGATACATCTAGTGTTATTTGAATTGCTTTTCCCATATGGGTAAGGTGTTGTTTTTCTCTGGCTGGTTTCAAGATTTTTTTCTTTGTCTTTCATTTTCAGAAGTTTAATTATGATATGTTTTTCTTTGGGTTACCCTATATAGGGTTTACTCAGCTTCTCGAATCTGTAGGTTTATGTCACTGCCAAATCTGGGGACTTTTCAGCTATTATTTTTCCAGTACTTTTCAGCCTGCCATCTTTAGCCTCTCTTTCCAGATTTCAGATGACACAAATGTTAGGGTTTTTTTGTTTTGTTTTTGTTTTTGTTTTTAATTTTATTTTTTATTTTTTTAAATTTACATCCAAGTTAGCAGATAGTGCAACAATGATTTCAGGAGTAGATTCTTTAGTGCCCCTTAACCATTTAGCCCATTCCCCTCCCAGAACCCTTTCAGTAACCCTGTTTCTTCTCCATATTTATGAGTCTCTTCTGTTTTGTCCCCCTCCCTGTTTTTATATTATTTTTGTTTCCCTTCCCTTATGTTGACCTGTTTTGTCTCAAAGTCCTCATATGAGTGAAGTCATATGATTTTTGTCTTTCTATCACTGACTAATTTCACTTAGCATAATATGCTCCAGTTCCATCCACGTAGTTGCAAATGGCAAGATTTCATTCTTTTTGATTGCCGAGCAATACTCCATTGTATATATATACCACATCTTCTTTATCCATTCATCCATCAATGGACATTTGGGCTCTTTCCATACTTTGGCTATTGTTGATAGTGCTGCTATAAACATGGGGGTGCATGTGTCCCTTCGAAACAGTACACCTGTATCCCTTGGATAAATGCCTAGTAGTGCAATTGCTGGGTCATAGGGTAGTTCTGTTTTTAGTTTTTTGAGGAACCTCCATACTGTTTTCCAGGGTGGCTGCACCAGCTTGTATTCCCAACAAATGTTAGGTTTTTAACGTTTTAGTTTCACAGGTCTCCTTCAACTGACTGATGGAATTCCAACATACAAAGCACATAAGATTTTTTTTCATTCTAGATTATAACTAGAAGCTTTACAAGTGACCTTAATGACAACATGATGTAATTAAACATATTAGATGTGATAGTTACTATCATATCTTTGCATTACAGGATCTTTGACTTGGTACAAATGGAGAAGTGCCAGGAATGACACACAAGCAGGCCAGAGTCTGTCAGCCTAGCAGAAACCAAAGCCAAACCTGAAGAGCAGATTTTAGCTAGATACCATGCTAGAAGCACTGCTTGGGTTTCTTCTGCTTTACACAGGAGTTTTACTATTACAAAACCATAAACAGCCTTTTTATGGTAATAGCTACTGTCCTCTAGTTGGCTTACTTGAAACAGTATCACTTCAAAAGATTTCCCCCACCTGTGCAAGCAGTAGACAATGTGACAATGACAAAATTAAGTAGGAGGTCACAGCAAATAATTGTTAAACAGGAAACATTTATTGGATATCTACTATGCTGTTTTTAAATTTCATTTTAACTATATATTAAAAGTAAATGCAGCTGTATGCTTTAAAAAGTGGAATTTTATGGTATTTAAATTATAGCTCAGAACTTATTTAAAAAATAAGTATGCATAATTTGTTTCACTTGTTATGAGAAGTCCCTTATTAAATTAAAGAAAAATGTAAACCTAATTTCAGATATTAAGTTTTCTTTATTCATTGCTGTTTACATTTTGGAAGTATGTTGATTTTAAGGGAAGAAATTTAAAAAGTAGATATACTACTAATAAAATTGATCTGTAGTATTTATGTCATGTATACATGTATGTATACATGTCATATACATGCATGTCATGTGTAGCACTGACAATGCTATCCTGGTAAAAGGTTCAATGACATTCTTTTTCTTTTTTTCCCCCTTTAAATAGTTATGATGGAAGCCTCTGCAGAGAACATTTTACAACAGGACTTTTGCCATGCTATTAAAGTGGGGGTAAAATATACCCAACAAATAATTCAGGGCATCCAGCAGTTGGTAAAAGAAATTGGTGTTACCAAGAGGACACCTCAGAAGTTATTTACCCCTTCACCAGAGATTGTGGAACACACTCATAAGTAAGAATATCTGTACAAAAGAAAATTTGAAATTGTTATCAGATTTAATTTCCTCTCAGAAAAAAACTTCCCATGGAAGCATTGTCCATGCATTACTAACATGGTACCCTTCTATTTTAAAAGTGAGTGCCAGGGGCACCTGAGTGCCTTAGTCAGTTGAGTGTCTAACTCTTGATTTCAGCTCAGGTCATGATTCTCAGGGTTGTGGGATTGAACCCTACGTCAGGCTCCGTGCTTTGCTTAAGATTCTCTCTCTCCCTCCCTCTGCCCCTCTCCCTAACTTGTGTACTCTTACCCCCCCCCCCCCCAAAATTAAGAGTGCCATAAGTATCAGTCACTAATGCCTTAAAAAGGATAAACCCACTTCGCTCTTCAAGGGCCTAAGCTTGAATCCCAAATGCGAGGGGGAGGGAATTTATTGGTTAAGATTCATATAATCCACATAACTCTGTGTCAAAAAGTAAAAAGAAAGTATAGGATATCTATCCAAGGAAACTGCTGAGGTTCTTGAAAAGAAATCAAGTTTGAAAAAAAAAAAAAAGTATGACCACCTCTTTATGCCCAGTGCTTACAGCAGTGCCGGTACATAGGCAAGCACTCAGTAAATATAAATGAAATCACCAGAAAAAGTATTTCATTTTACTTCAAATAAATTGAAAAAGTTAATATTTCCATTAGTATCAATCTCATAGTCATCAGTGAGAGAGTAAAGAGATGTAAACTGTCCCCAACAAAACAGTTGCCTGCAATAACAGCCAACGTAGACAGAATAGAAAAAAAGCAAGAAGTTAAAAGAGAGTGTTTCGGGAGAGAGACTTTGTGTGTAAGAAAAAATCTAAGTTGAAATAAATTGAACAATTAAGAAAAAGGGAGGGCGTAGCACCATGTGTGAGTGATTTCCCTGACAGGTGGGGAGAAAGAAATTTGTGTATCATAAACAGTAAACAGATGAGCTGTGTTAAAGAATAATAAATATATATTTTTAAATTCTCTATGAAATGCTTATTAAGTATTTTCACTTACTATTAAATATTTGTTTTGTTTATAATAGACACTACCTCATGTTTCTAAGTATTTTTATTCTGACATTTATTTTGTGCTTCAAATAGACTCGCCATGGAAAGACTCTACGCAGTTTTTACTGATTATGAACATGATAAAGTAGGTGTACCCGAAATTTTTCTTACTGTTCTGGGAATTCTTTTTTGTCATAATTCACATAATCTTATTTATGAATGTTAGTCCTATTTTTATTAAAAATCTCTAAACAGCTAAGTAAATAGAAGCATAGCAATTTGCTTCTCCATTCTCCTTTTGTTGATTAATGCAAATTTTAGGGAAGTGTGCAAATATATTTGAATTAAACAGCTAATAGCTCTTGTAAATCAATAACCAGCTCTAATCTTTTGAAGAATATCAGTAGAAAAATGTGAGTACTATTGCATTGTGTTAATTGTATAATAATGTAAAAATAGAAATGGTAAATATTGCCATGTATACTGAATTTCATCTTTCTTTCAGATTTCCAGAGATGAAGCTATTAACAAGATAAGATTAGATACAGAGGAACAACTAAAAGGTAAATTTTGGTTTTTTTAATTTAAGAAAATATTTAAAGGAAATAGGTTTTTTAAAAATTTCAATTTACTCTAAGACTTCAAAGAATCAGTTATTCTCATTGTTCCTTAGTTTTTTTTATGTTCAGGATACCTAAACTTACCTTAAACTTAAACTTAGGATAATGCTGCATCCCAAGGGTACTGTTAAACTAACTTCTGTGAATGTGGTCAGCACTGTACCTGATACAGAGTGATCACCAGTAAATGTTGAATGTGAAATACTCCCAATCTCTTCTGGATCAGGTTCTTAACCTCTATGATAGGAAATTTTGTATCCTGTCATTTGAACATCTGAAAAATATTCTTTAAAATTCTTGACTTTTTAGTCTGTGAAATTATAATACTGATAATATCTGGTTTATAGGGATTAAATAGGTAAATCATTTGCATTTGTGCCTGCCACATACCAACTGTCCAAAAAATGTTAACTGACTCTGTTATTAATATGTAGGATTGTAAAACTTAGATTTTAGAGAATTTAGCTCTCCAGAAATTATTAAGCAAAGGATCTTATTATATTAATATCAATCACAAACTGAATGTATACCAAGAATGACATATACTTATGAATTTTTCGGTTAAGAGATAAATGTCCTCCCTCCTATCTTATTTTTAAGATTATAACTCTGCTGTTAGTATTGATACTAAGGCCATTGCCTATAATTGCCATTGAAAATGTATAGTCTTTTCTCATTACGTTTCATCCTATTTGTTAAAAATGAGCTGTATAACACCTATTGCCTTATTTAAACAGAAAAGTGATTTTGTGTTAATATTATATGTAGTAGAATATCTTGAGGACATTTTGAGTTCATAGGATAATATTTTAAATATTTAATTACTAATTATTTTCTTTTCCAAGTGCAAGTCAGAGCATAAAAGTTCATACTAAAGTGTATAAAATTATTCTTGCCTGATGAAGGTACAGTTTTTAATATATCTCTCTGTGTCCATTTCTTAGTTCTGGTTAAAGTTATAATTAAGAAACCAAATGCCTTAAAGAACAGTGTCACAGCTGTGTCAGTCACTATGTGATCTCAGGCAATTTACTTCTTTAAGCTGATTTCTCTTCTTTAGAATGGTGATAATAGAATATACCTCATAAGTTGTTTCAAAGACTAAAGACTTTAAAATATATATATATAGAGAGAGAGAGAGTACATGGATCATGAAAGAATTTGATAAATGTTAACTAAAAAGATTTGTAACTATAGATTTGTAACATAAAGAAAATTATTTCTCTTTGCAGTTCCTAAGGTAAAACAGTGAAGGTGATTAGTCTTAAAGAGTGTCATTCAGACCTTTTCATAATATGGCCGGATTTGTTATTAATGTAATACAATAGAGAGCTAATTACAAAGCACTGTTTTTCTTGTAGAAAGCAGACTGAGTTCTCAATAACAATACATTTGAGGTATAATACTTGTGTCTCTCCTACTTCAGAATATTTGATTCATCTACTTTGTTTGCCTGGGGACAAAATGTTCAGCTTCACCTCCCCCGTGGTTTACTCCCACAGTTAACTGATTTGATACTATGAATTGAAGAGAAATCTTATCTTCCAAAAGGAGAAAAACCTCTGTTTTGATTTGTATTTCTTCTACAGAAAAGTTTCCAGAGGCTGATACATATGAAATAATAGAATCCTTCAATGTTGTTGCAAAGGAGGTTTTTAGAAGTATTATCTTGAATGAATACAAAAGGTAAATATATCTTTTTTTTTTTTTTTTTTTTTTGAGAGAGCCAGGAAAGGCGGGAAGGGGGCAGGAGGAGAGGAGAAAATCCCAAGCAGGTTCCACATCTACCAACCTACAACGAGCCGACGGCTGGGAACTCAGACTCAAATCGCATGAGATCATGACCTAAGCCAAGCTCAATAGGATGCTTAACTGACTGAGCCACCCAGGTGCCCCAATATATTTTTTTTGATGGAACTGAATGAAATATGTGCTGTCTCTATAAGGTGCTTTGAAAGTGACAACTTGTTCAAGGAACTGTTCTTTTTTTTTTTTTTTCTTTTTTTTAAAGTTCTTAAAGTTCCATAGGTGATATGACACAATTGGGATTGAGAACTTTCTGGTAGGAATAAAGAGATAATAGGTGATATTTATGATTTTGAACACTGCTTTACATACTTATTCCTTTATTACTGTAGGTGTGATGGTCGAGATTTGACTTCACTTAGGAATATAAATTGTGAGGTAGATATGTTTAAAATTCTTCATGGATCAGCATTATTTCAGAGGGGACAAACACAGGTAATATATGTGAAAAGCTGTAATTATTTGCTAACTCAGGATTGCTTAATTAGATCTAATAGAAGTACATTATGTAGACACTATAGATTTTTATCTTATGGAATGTGTTAATACCTGATTTTTTTTTAATATTTTTAATGGCTTTTGAGGCATAATTGCCATCTACAAAACTACACATATTTAAAGTGTATGTTTAATAGGTTTTCAGGTGTATACAACTGAGAAACTGTCCCCAAAGTTAAGATAATGAACATATCACCCCTGCAAAGTTTCCTCCTGCCTCTCTATAATCCCTTCTTCCTGCTCCCCTCCCTTTCCTCAGGCAACTGTTGATGTGCTTTTGTCTCTGTAAATTGGTTTGCATTTTCTAGAATTACCTGGTATCTCTATCATATTTTTCTTTTAATTTTCATGCACAGAATTGAATCACCCATGCTCTTCAGTTATGGCATATTGTCATTTTTGGTCTATTCAAGGCCCTCATTTGTTTTCTCTATTTAGCTTATACCTTAGTCCTATTCTTTTCCTTTACTTAGGTACCCATTGTCTTATATTTAACATATAGGTGTATCCATTGTTTTGTGTATGGTATTTGCTTTATACTCCCTCCCTCTTCTTATATTAATCACTACTTTAATTTTGCCAGTTTAATTGCTACAAACTGTGGTATGTCCTTGCTTTCATTTGTATTTCCCTATGAGTCTAAGCATCTCTTTATATAAATAGCCTATCAGTGTGGTCACTGCATAAATCATACCCTGGAGGGCTGCACACCCTCCAGGACATTCATTCTTTTCACTTAGATAGTGGTCCCTGAACTTAAGCAACGTGCTCATCCTGGTTCAGGTTTGCTCTTTTGTGAATTATCTGGTCATATCCTTTGGCCAGTTTTTTTTCTTTTTTCTTTTTTTTACTGTGGTTTATTTTTTTCTTCCTATTTTCTAATGATTTCTTATATTAATCCTTTTTAGTAACCAGAATTTGTATATATCCTCTCCCTCTTTGTCATAAGCCTTTTAGCTTTGTGAAGAGTGAACCTGAAATCTTTAGTTTTGATGTAGATAATCCTTCCCCTTTTTTATTTTGTGATTTGTGTTTTTAAAGTCTTATTTAAGAAATCTTTCCTTACCCTCCTAGTCACAAAATTGTGCACCTAATTTTTCTGTTAACTTTCTGGTTGTAGCTATCAAATTTAGACCATTAATCTATCTTGGAGTTTACTCTTACATACGCTGTGAGGTGGAAACCTCCAGAGTGAACCAGTTTTACAACTTATTTACTAATAATTCATTTTTCCTGTTGACTTATAATGTTAATATATTCTGAGCTTATAAATATATTTTTGAACTATATTCTGTTCTGTGAATTTCCTTGGCCAGTGTCAAACTGTTTTAGTTATTATGGTTTAAAGTTTGTCTTAATATATGAGGAGCAAATGCTCCTTTTTTTAATTGTTTTTTTTTTTTTTTAATGTTTATTTTTAGGAGAAGAACGGGGGGGGGGGGGGGGGCAGAGAGAGAGGGAGACACAGAATCAGAAGCAGACTCCAGGCTCTCAGCGCAATAGGGAGAGCCTAAAACAGGGGCTGAACCCCAGCGAGACCACTACTCGAGATCATGACCTGACCTGAGGTCAGATGCTTAGCTAGCACCACTGAGCATAACCTCTTTTATTTTCCTCTGCCCTTCAAAATTGTTTTAGCTATTCTAGTGCATTTGTTCGTTCATTTGAATTTCAGTGTTAAATTACGATTCTAGGAAGGTCATAGACTGAATTAAGTATTGTACTTCAAATTTATAAATTAACTTGACAGAGAAATGATATTTTTACAATTTAAATCACAGTCTTTACAATAAATGGCCTCACTCTTGATTCAGGTTTTCTTTTATGCCTTTTAATAAAATTTTAAAAATAACTCAATTAAGATATCCTGCATACTTTTGTTAGCAATTTTGACAGTCTCAGCCTTTTAACTGGAGTGTTTAGTCCATTGATGTTTGGTTTTAATTACTGATTTGATTGAATTTAGCCTGTCATTTTATTATTTGTTTCTGATTGCCCCCTCTTTTTTTCTGTTCTTCCTTCTTTTTGGATTAACTGCATATTTTTTTAGAATTCCATTTTAATATGTCTCCTTGCTTTTTAGCTATATCTTTACATTATTAATGGTGACTATTGAGAATATGGTATATATCATTAACTTTTCATTTTAGAGTTAATTTTGTACTATTTCACACATTATGCTGTAGTTGTCTCATGAGTAACATCTACATGTTATAAAGTCCACAAGGCAATATTATAACTTGAATTTTAAACAATCATGTATTTTAAGAAGGTAAGTGGCAAAGATAGTCTTTTATATTGACCTACATATATAATTTCTGGTGCTTCATATTTCTTCCTGAAGATCCAAGTTTCCATCTAGTATTGTTTACCTTCAATCTGACAAGACTTCCTTTGCTATTGTCCTATGGGTCTTCTGACAACAAATTCTTATATTTCATTTATCTGAAGATATCTTTATTTTGCCTTCACATACAAAGAATGTTTTTGCAAGGTATAGATTCTAAGTTGATGCTTTTTTCTTTTAGCACTTAAAAAATGTTCCACTGTTTATTTTTTCTCCTAATAAAAAGTCAAGATGCATTCAAATCATTGTTCCAATTGTCTTCGTCTTGGTGCTTTCCAGATTTTCTTTTTGTCTTGGTTTTCAACAATATAACTATAAAAAGTGTAGTTTTCTTTGTATTTATATACTAAGGGTTTCCTGAGCTTGAACCTGTAAATTTGTATTGTTAATGAAACTTCAAATACTCTTCTACCTTATACTCTCTTATCTCTCCTTATGGGATTTTAAGTATATATGTTAGTCCTTTTGAAATAGTCCCACACCCCTTCTTTGTTGTTTAGATTTGGCAATTTCTATTAATCCATCTACATGTTTATTGACTCTTGTCATCTCGTTTGCATTATAAGATAATGTGTCTTTCAGTTTTAGAATTTCTATTGGTTCTTTTTTATGTCCTTAAGTATAATTATAAGAGCTATTAAAGATCCTTGTTTGTTAATCCAGGATCTCAGTTAGCTTGGGGCAATCTCTATTCATTGTCTTTTCTCTGAAGAATGATTCCCATTTCTTATTTTTTTGTACGTTGTATCTCGGATGTTGTGAATGATGTGCTGTAGAGTTTGGACTACATTGTGTCCCTCTAAATGAGACTGGATTTTTTTTAAGTAGGCAGTTTTATTGGCTAGACCTTTATTGAGGCTTCCTATATGGTCAAATATACCTTCCTCTTCCTGTCCTCCCCCAGCACTTTTAGTACAATGCTTTACATAGTAGTCTGTGATGTTACACCTTTGCATTATTGAGATTTACACATAACTCTAATATTTATAAAATGAATAAATGTTTACTGCGTTAAGTAGCATGACAAGCTTTGTATAGAATTTCCCATTTCTTTAATAACTAATTGGGTTCTTCAAATACTTTATTTTCTTCTCATTGTTAGTAAATTAAAGCCTGACAATTTTTTTTCTTATTATTTTAGGTACTTTGTACTGTTACGTTTGATTCATTAGAATCCAGTATTAAGTCAGACCGAATTATAACAGCCATAAAGTAAGTTAAGTTTTTTGGTAAGTTATAAGTATGTTGGTATGTTCTAAAACATAAATTTGGTATGTTCTAAAACATACGTTTGATATGTCTCGAAGTTGTGGTCTTACAGCATATAATTGAAGCTCATAGTATATTATTCATTACTATTTTTATGTTTTTTTTTTTTGAGAGAGAGAGCGCAAACAGGGGAGGGGCAGAAAGAGAGAGAGAGAGGGAGAGGGAGAGGGAGAATCTTAAGCAGGCTCCACGCCCAGTGCAGAGCGCAACATGGGGCTCCATCTCACAGCAGTGAGATCATGACCTGAGCCAGAATCAAGAGTTGGATGCTTAACTGACTGAGCCACCCAGGCTCCCCTCATTATTACTTTTTTAAACCTATATATCTATACTTTATGTTTCTGTTTACTTAATAGTGATTTTAAGGTATTTTTAACATGGGTACATTTATTCTCTGTCTCTAGAACCATTTCTCAGGAGAGATATAGGTAGGTTTTTCTATTACAAACCAGAGAGCAAATAAATAAGCAAGAGTCCCAGTTGCTAAAAAGAATCTGGAGGCTGTTAATAAGTAAAAAAAGCTTTATCTAATCCCAAGCCATGTTGGAATTTGTGTTCAGAAATACTTGGTTCTCCTCCTCTTTTCCTAAAAAGTCAGCAATAATATCTTACTGATCAATTTTAGATGATGAGAATCTGTGTTACAGTCCTCACCAGCGTTACTGCATCAGTCCTGGGACTCATAGCCACAGTTCTTTTCTTTCCTCAGTGCCTAACAGCATTGCTTCCCTTTCCCTTGGTAAGGGTCTCAGAAGACCACAAGACTCTGTCTCACTCTTCCTATGAGGATAATCCCCAGTATTTTCAGGATAGCATTGCTAATTGTTTTTCAGTTTTCTGATAAAATTGACAATGCAGCTGTGTGTATAAGGTGAGATTGTTCATTGTAATCATAATCCTTTGGGGGGGGGGGAGCTTTTATACTTTGTATTTTAAATTCCCATCTGAGCCCCAATTTGGTTGCCCTGCCCTTTTTCACTTTGACTCCTTTCCATTCTAGGAGGCAACACAGCTTCATAAGAAAGAGCACTGTGTTTGGCCAGGGCACTTCTTTATGTTCTAGTCTTAGGTCTGTAACCTATGTTAGTGAGAGGGCACACATCAGTCAGCCATGCTGGTTTTTGGTTTCTTCATACTTGTAAAATGCGGGTGCTGTGCTAATGATCCATATCCTTCTCTCTAGCCCCCCAAATCTATTATTCCTTTAGTCTTCTAGAGTCAGGTTTTTATATTTCTTTTCCCAAGACTGTGGCTTATGATTATGCAGATTTAGCCCTAATCCAGGACTTTTTAAATACTCAGCGGAGAGAGGTATTTTTTGTAATTAAACATCCACCCAAAGGGGACACTATTTGAGCTAAGACCCTATATATGCTAGTCTTTTCTTCAGTTAAAGATAAATCTGGTTTCCTACTTCAGGAATTGTGTTTCTTCTCATCCTTATTTCCCCCCATTGTTCTAGACAGAGTCATAACAGTTCTCATTTCAAACCCTGAAAAAAATCTTTGCCTCTCTAATCTCCTGATTGCTCTCCCATATATCATTTCAGTTATTGATCTTCATTTCACATGTTGACTGGGAGAAAGATCATAATTCTGAGATTTAACTAATGTGTTTAAACGTTTGAGATTCTCTCAGTAGTTACAAATGCTTAAAAATAAATGTCTACTGTCTTTAGTATTCAAATTGAATATTAAAGTGCTTATAAAGCAAAATTATTTTCTAAATCTGTGTAAAATTCATTTATAAGTCCCAGAAAAAAATACTGTCTCTGACATTCATCCTTCTAGTTCTTCTGGTTTTCAATTTCAGACCAACTCTTTAATACCTAGTTATTTTTTAGATACCCTTAAATCTTTTTAAGTTCTTTGAAATTATGTTTTTGTATCTATGTGATGTTTTTAATATTATGCTTTTTGTTTGTAGTGGGATAAAAGATAAAAATTTCATGCTGCACTATGAGGTAAGATAAATTTTTTCCCCAGTATTTTACTATGAAAAATTTCTGGGATATAGCAAAGTTGAAAGAACTTTATAGTGAATACTTATATGCCCACTACCTCGGTTCTATTAATATTTTACGGTGCTCGTTTTATATATCTGTTAAGGTGGATTTGGGGGCGCCTGGGTGGCTCAGTCAGTTAAGCGTCCAACTTCGGCTCAGGTCATGATCTCGCAGTTTGTGAGTTTGAGGCCCGTGTCGGGCTCTGTGCTGACAGCTCAGGGCCTGGAGCCTGCTTCACATTCTGTGTCTCCATCTCTCTCTGCCCCTCCCCCACTTGTGCTCTGTCTGTCTCTATCAAAAATAAATAAAATTTAAAAAAAAAATTTTTTTTTAATAGAATAAAAAAAGGTGGATTTGGGCACTATTGTTTCTTACATGCAGAAAGGAATTTAAAGAGCTAAGCCATAGTCTTCAGTCAACAACTTCATGTTCTGAATCATACATAAAAGTTAAAGTATAGTAGACAGCTTTGTTTTAGTCAAGAAAAAGTCATGCCCATTCACATATGTCAAGCAAAACTGGGACTTCTCAAATACCTCAAACGACAAATCACCTTCTCCCTTTAGTTCATTTAAATGTTCATATTTTTACTCAGTTGATAAATAGTAAAAGAACTCTAAGGTATTTGATAGTAAATTACTTTATGTGAAATTATTATGAGTTTGTGATTGACTTTATTTACAACTAATCCTAAGGAACCAGACACTATATATAGCATTTTAATTTTAGTATTTGAAGCATATATGCAGGGAGGCTGGTATAAAAGTAGCAAGTCTCTTCACTTTTGAGTGACCATTATTGGCTGCCCAGAATCCCAACATGTCAATTTTGTTGAGTCTGCTAGAATTAATAGAGAACACTTCACGTAGACAGTAATTGCTAGAGAATATCCAGAAACCTGGAGATTTTCACAGGTTTTCAGTCCCTTATAAATACCCTGTTCTGGATATACCCAGATGTTATAGAAGCCAGAGAGGAATTATAACTGAGTGAAGCATATCCTTCATTGTGAGCTACACAGCACATGACAGTCTTTTTAAAAGGGCAGTTCTGAAAAATGCAGCTCCAGCTGATTACTGGGAAAAGAAGTGAGGGAGGGGGCATGAAAAGGATATAGGCTGTTATTGCTGTATCATTTGATTTTTAAAAAAAATTTTTTAAGTGTACTTATTTATTTTGAGAGAGAAAGCAAACAGGGTAGAGGCAGAGAAGAGAGAGAGGGAGAGAATCCCAAGTAGGCTCCACCCTGTCAATGCAGAGCCCAATGTGGGGCTCAAACCCACAAACTGTGAGATCATGACCTAAGCTGAAATCAGGAGTCAGACACTTAACCAACTGAGCCACCCAGGTGCCCCTGCTATATCATTTCATTTTTTAAAAACTTTTTATTGTAAAATGAAACACAGATACTGAAAAACCTATAAAAGGATGGCATAATGAGTTTTTATAAGGCAGAGACCCTTACAAACTACCACCCAAGGTAGAGAGTAGAATGTTTCCAGTCACCCCAGAAACCTCTCCATGCTTTTCATCCTAGTCTCAATATCATTCTTTCCCTAAAAATAACTACTCTCCTAAGTTTTATTGTAATTACTTCCTTGCATTTTTAGTGTACATCCCTAGACACTATAGTCTTGTCCATTTTTTTTTTTTAATTTGGGATTTCTCTTTTAATCTATAGGTTTCTCCTCCAGTACATTCTTTTCTTTTCAGTCTGTCTGTTGAAGTCCCAGAGCCATCTGACCTGTAGAGTTCCCCACAGTCTGCATGTTGCTGATTACACACTCCTGGTGCAATCCAGCAAGTTTCTCTGTCCTTCTATCTCCTGAAAATTGACTGCATTCCTGAAGATTGATGGCTAGATCCAGAGGCTTGATCAGATTCATGTACCATCATCACTCCTTTTTAAAAATACTTTGTTGGGGTGCCCGGGTGGCTCAGTCAGTTAAGCATCTGACTCTAGATTTCAGCCCAGGTCATGATCTTGCACACACGAGTTTGAGCCCCACATGGGGCTCTGTGCTAACAGTGTGGAGCCTGCTTGGGATTCTCTCTGTCCCTTCTCTCTCTGCCCCTACCCCGCTTGCACTCTCTCTCTCTTTCTCAAAATCCATTTTATTAAAAAAATTTTTTTTTAATTTCAATGTTTATTTATTGAGAGAGACAGAACTGAGTGGTGGAGGGGAAGAGAGAGAGGAAGAGACAGAATCTGAAACAGGCTCCAGGCTCCAAACTGACAGCAGGGAGCCTAATGTGTGACTCGAACTCACGAAACGTGAGATCATGACCTGAGCCAAAGTTGGATGCTTAACGGACTGAGCCACCCAGACACCCCTTAAATAAAAATATTTTGTTTAAGAAACTGGAATTCCAAATTTTTATGGGAAATTTCCCAATATTTTAGATGACTGCAACTAATTCATATTCTTTTGAGATACTGTATTGGTCAAATAAAATAGTTTGCCACCTCTGACTAAAAGAAAACCCTTACTGAAAAAGATTTCTATTTCTTCAGTGTGCATTTGTTTTAATTTGTATATATTTTTCTTATTATAAAAATGTAATACTTTGTCATTGTTATTAAGTCCCCATAACCATCCATGTTCCCCTCTGGCTCATATACACACTAGAAATAGATACCTTTAGCAGTTTGTTGTATATTTCAGATATTCAGACGTTTTCTACATATATAAATGTACTTTAAAAAAAAATGGGATTCTACTGTTTTGTAACTTTCGTTATTATTTTGGTAATATAGGTTAGATATCTTTCCATGTTGGTTGTTTATGTATATGTGTTTATTTTTTTAAGTTTCCTCCTTATGCAACTAACGAAATTGGCAAAGTCACTGGTGTGAACAGAAGAGAACTTGGGCACGGTGAGTACAAATCTGTAAACTCAAATGGTATTCTTACAGAGACTTAATACATTTATCCTTATTATTTTCTATTCTAATTTAGGTGCTCTTGCTGAGAAAGCTTTGTATCCTGTTATCCCCAAGGATTTTCCTTTCACCATAAGAGTCACATCCGAAGTCCTAGAGTCAAATGGTAGAGTATTAATATAAATTTTTTCTAGTCAAAAAGACCAGAACTCTCTATATATATTCTTTTCATAATTAATGTTACATTATGCTTATAACTACAGTGCCCAAGTCCATTACAAAAGAAAAATGTGTTTAATCATATACTGTCTAAATCTCTGTTCTTAGCCAATGAGATGTTTCTAAAGCAATATAAAGTGAATATTTCTCTTGATCTTTTATAACTTATCCAGATGGGGATGTTTATTTTTAGAATAAACAAGGCCAGCTTACAGCAAGAAAGCACCAGAAGAGAGCGATCCATTTGGTAGGGGACAACTATCATATATCACAGATACAAGTAAATAGCAAACAGAGAGAGTCTGAATTATAAGATCAAATTTAAATTATGGGGCGCCTGGGTGGCGCAGTCGGTTAAGCGTCCGACTTCAGCCAGGTCACGATCTCGCGGTCCGTGAGTTCGAGACCCTCGTCAGGCTCTGGGCTGATGGCTCAGAGCCTGGAGCCTGTTTCCGATTCTGTGTCTCCCTCTCTCTCTGCCCCTCCCCTGTTCATGCTCTGTCTCTCTCTGTCCCAAAAATAAATTAAAAGAAAAAACGTTGAAAAAAAAAATAAATTAAAATTAAGTCCCCAGGTCAAGGCAAGGTATGGTCATTAGAGATAGAAAGATCACAGAGATCTCAAAGATATATCAGACATAGATCAGATAATATTTTTAAAAAACAAAAACACCCTCTGAATTTAAATTAGAGACTTTCTGTTCTCTACTGGTTGTGACTTAGGGTCCAGTGAGAGAGCCAGAGCCTGTATCTTTAACTGACATCTGATTAAGCAACAAAAGAGGTGTGCTGGTTTTTGTGGGAGGTTTCTTAGAATCTCCTATAGCATTGCTACCCAATATAACTTTATGTGATGATGAAAGTTATCTCTGCTATGCAGTTTAGGGACTGAATTTATTTCAGTTAACTTAAATTTAGTAGCTACATGTAGCTACATGTACCTATCATACTGATTTGTGTAGTCCTGTAGTTTGTGGTTTAGCAGAGCTTGTGTTAATTGCTTTTAAAAAGAAAGGAGTATGGAGGTTCCTTAAAAAACTAAAAATAGGGGCGCCTGGGTGGCGCAGTCGGTTAAGCGTCCGACTTCAGCCAGGTCACGATCTCGCGGTCCGTGAGTTCGAGCCCCGCGTCGGGCTCTGGGCTGATGGCTCAGAGCCTGGAGCCTGTTTCCGATTCTGTGTCTCCCTCTCTCTCTGCCCCTCCCCAGTTCATGCTCTGTCTCTCTCTGTCCCAAAAATAAATAAAAAAAAAAAAATAAAAAAACAAAACAAAACAAAAAAAAACGTTGAAAAAAACTAAAAATAGAACTACCCTGTGACCCAGCAATTGCACTATTAGGCATTTATCCAAGGGATACAGGAGTGCTGTTTCAAAGGGACATATGCACCCCCATGTGTATAGCAGCACTGTTAACAATAGCCAAAGTATGGAAAGAGCCCAAATGTCCATCGATGGATGAATGGATAAAGATGTGGTATATATATATACAATGAAGTATTACTCAGCAATCAAAAAGAATGAAATCTTGCCATTTGCAACTACATGGATGGAGCTGGAGGGTATTATGCTAAGTGAAATTAGTCAGAGAAAGACAAAAATCATATGACTTCACTGATATGAGGACTTTAAGAGACAAAATAGATGAACGTAAGGGAAGGGAAACAAAAATAATATAAAAAACAGGGAGGGGGACAAAACAGAAGAGATTCATAAATATGGAGAAGAGGGTTACTGGAGGGGTTGTGGGAGGGGGGATGGGCTAAATGGGTAAGGGGCACTAAGGAATCTATTCCTGAAATCATTGTTGCACTATATGCTAACCAATTTGGATGTAAATTTTAAAAAATAAAAAATAAATAAAAAGAAGGAAAGATAACTGAATATGTACAAGGAAATAACCAATATAACAATTTTCAACACTTAAAAAAATCAGTATATTATAAAGCAAGTATTTTTCTTTCCATAGGATCATCTTCAATGGCATCTGCATGTGGTGGAAGCTTAGCATTAATGGATGCAGGTAAAAGGATTATGTCTCAAAACTACTAACGCTTTATATGGATTTGATTAGTATTAAATATAGATCTCTTTAAAATTCGGTTTTAGGGGCGCCTGGGTGGCGCAGTCGGTTAAGCGTCCGACTTCAGCCAGAGTCAACGCATCTCGGCGATCCGGTGAGTTCAGTCTAAGCACAGGCTCTGGGCTGATGGCTCAGAGCCTGGAGCCTGTTTCTCTCGATTTCTAGTTCTCCTCTGCCTCGCCTCCCATTTCATGTTTGTCTCTCTGTCCCAAAAATAAATGTTGAAAAAAAAAATTTTTTTTTAATAAATAAATAAATAAAAATAAATAAATAAAATTCGTTTTATCAGGCATGCCATGGCTGAAGGTTGGTTGAGCATCCAACTTCAGCTCAGGTCATGATCTCGCAGTCCCGCGGGAGTTCAGCCCATGTTGGGCTCTCCTCTCCAGTTGACAGCTCAGAGCCTGGACCCTAGGGTTTCACCCAGGTTCTCTCTTCTGGTCTCTCCCCATTCATGTCTAATCTCTCTGTCCAAAAAAATAAATAAACGTTAAAAAAATTAAAAAAAAAAATTGGGTTTTACTAAGACTTGGAGAAGTCAGATTACCAAACTAAACTAGAGCAAGATCAAAGTACACCTTCAACTATACAGATATCTACTAGAATTCTTATCTTTGGCAAAAAGCAGAACACTGAAATTATTTACTTGCCTAGGGGATGCAGTGAGCTTTCTCACCTTCCAAAAGGTAAAGAGCTCTGCAGTTGATTCCATTCACTAAGGAAGTTTGGATCACCAAGCAGAAGTATTTAGGACCCATAAAAGAAAGTAACCATGTAATCTTCTAGTCAATTTATGCAAGATAAAAGAAGAACAATACCACCCATAGAAGGGTACACAGAATTTTAGGAAGGAAGAGTGCAGGTGGTTCAGTATAATCTCTGGGTCTAAAACACCAAAAGGGAAAGAGTCAACATGTTAAGAGGCTCTGAAAACAATTCCTGCATCCCACCAATGATGCCATTCAGAAGAAAAAGGAACCTAAAGATACTCAAGAGGCCATACAAGGAGTTCCCTCTAAGTTCACACATTTATAGTACAGAGAAATGGATAGAAAGGATACCATAACCAAGAATGAGATGAAAGAATGGTGTGAATATGTAATAACATTATCTAGAAAGATGAAAACTTAAGCCAAAGCAAAAAAAAAAAAAAAAAAAAAAGCTAAAGGCAATTTTCAGTTGTGTTTAGTGGAAGGAAAACAGAATCTGATATTTAAGGTTGCTGTTTTCACCGTCATGCATTCATTCAACAATCTTTACTGTATGTCACTCCTGTGCCAAGTACTAATCTAAGCCCTTGGGACACAGATGAACAAAATGAAGTCCTTGTCCTTGTGGGTCCTGAATTCATCAGTCTTCCAATTTCATATTGCAAAACACAACATATTCTCAAAAAGGTGAACTGAAAGATAAAGTAAAAAGAGAGAGCCTTTAACTGCATTAAATGAATTCAGATCTTTTGGTCTAGACAAAAACCCAACCTAAAAAGACAATCTTCAGGATGAGAAAACTGACCTATGTTGGCAGTATTTGAAAAATCAGAACGTGGTATACCAAGGACACAAAAAGTTTTTAATTTTGAAAGAAAGGAAAGTATTTTCTGTAAAGCATAACTCAGCGAACTTGACTGTGGAAGACTCTTAAATAGATTATGAAAAGAAAGGTGTATAAGTGTTTTTAGGAAGGAAGGGGACTGAAGAGAAGGGACCAGAAGGGACTGACTTAAAACATGTCATAGTAAACTAATGTTCCATTTTTGGAAAATAGTACTAGATTTGGAGCAGGGGGGTGTGGGGAATGTTGCTTATGCTGTGTATCTAGAGATACACAGTTTATGATCTTTCTGTAAATGATGCAGAAATTGAGGTGGATGATAGGTGCACCTTCATAACTGGTGGAAGGATGAGCAGAGGAGATAAGAGAATCAGATCAGTATGTTGGAGTGAGACCTCAAGTGGAATGCTTGAGGATACTTCATTCTAAACCCTGTCCCTTTCAATGTTTTTGTTACTGAACTGAGAAAACTGGCCTGCTGATAAAAAGGATATTGCTAAAAAAGAGTAGGTAACCGATATGTTAAATGACAATTTTGATCTCTAAAAAATGTAAAAAACAGGATTAAAAAAAAAAGCCAAATAGAAAAAAATTTAATTTGACAAGAAGGAATGTCAAGTCCTGTGGGAAAAGCCAACAAAGTGTATACAATTCAACTCAAAACCTGAGTGCTTGCCACGCCCTATATCAGGCACTGTCCTGTGCTCCAGAGATACAAATGGTACCTATTTTTTTTAAATCTTACTGGTGTGAAAAACCCAAAGACACTAACAAATCAGAAAGATAATACAAATAGGTAAAAGGCATAAATATGCACAATATGGATGAAGAATTAGATTGAAGAAAATTTGCTTCATAGAGACAGCTACATTTCATCTTGTTCCAAAGGTTGAGTAGTTTTTGATCTGTCATTAGGAGCAGGGACCATATTTCATTCGAAGGGAACAACATGTATAAAGTTAGAAAGCAGTATAGCGTGTTTCTGAAATGTATTTGAAAAAAATATTAAATTGGGACCAGATTTTAAAGGTTATTGTTATGCTAAGGATTTTGAAATTAAAGCTAGTATTTAACAACTCCGTATTGTGTTCTATGAACTAGTGTTCCTGCTGGATATTGATTATTGAAAATTTTTCTGTTCTAAAGTACATTTGAGCAGGGTTAAGCAGGTTTATTTAATATGAATTAAAGAAACTTTAATATGCTAGTATGAATTCTGAATCTCTAGAAATAGGATATATACTATTTCCCCAACTTTTTTGACCATAGAAATGTATAAAAATTTCTTGAAAGGAGATAATGGGGAACTCAGAGAATTTTATGTAGATTTGATTTGAATTTGATTTTTTTTAATCTGATTTTTTTTTTTCTTTTTGGTAGTTTTTCCCAGCTTAGATGTTAGCCCTGGAGGATGAAGTGGGAGAGAATGAGAGCTGGGGGGAGACACTAAAATTTGGGAAACCAGACAGGGAGAATGCTGTCAGAGCAAGAAATAATGTGAACTTGGACTAAAGGAGTAGCAATGGATGTTTCAGTATTTAGGGGAAAGGACAACTTTCTAAAAAAAAAATATTTAAAGGATAAACTATCAGATCTTTGTGACTTCATGGGATATAGGACATGAGGAAAGAAGTGTTGATTCTGGCATAAGTGTCTTAGTTGCATTCAACCAAGATAAGAAAGGCAAGACAAAAAGGATTTATTGGGGGTAATTACATTTTGAATATACATATATATATTTAAGGTGCTTTTGGGACATTTAGCAAGAGATGTCCAAGGCAGATTATTGGGTATACAGATGTAAGGCTTTAGCAAAGAGAAGTAGGCAGGTGAGAGGGATTTTTTAGGTCATCAGCATTATAGGTGATGGTTAAAAACCATGGGCATAAGTGACATTACTTAGAGAATATGAAATGAGATTCCCCTGCCACACTCCTTTATAATAAATTCCAAGTGATTAAAAAAAAAAAAAAATGCTTGGGGTGCCTGGGTGGCTCAGTCGGTTAAGCATCCAACTTCGGCTTAGGTCATGATCTCACGGTTCGTGGGTTCGTGCCCCGCATCGGACTCTGTGCTGACAGCTCAGAGCCTGGAGCCTGTTTCAGATTCTGTTGTCTCCCTCTCTCTCTGCCCCTCCCCCACTCGCGCTCTGTCTCTGTCTCAAAAATAAACAAACATTAAAAAAAAAATTTTTTTTTAATGCTTATATAAAAATGAAACATTGAAGATTTTATCAAAATCTTAGGAAAAACCATTTTAGGCAGAATCCAGGAACCATCATTGCATATAAATTTAAAATTCTGTACAGGAAAATAAATCACAATAAACAAAGTCAACTGACTAGGAAATAATCTATTTTTATATTTCCTATAAACATTCAAAAGAAGTTTAACCCTTCTCATAAAAACAAGTCAAATTAAAAACAATAAGCTACATTTTTACCCTTTATCTGAACAAAGGTCGAGATTGGATGGGAATTAAGAATGTAGAACCTCAAATACTGCCAGTAAAAATATAAAATGCTACACTCTTTGGAAGGCAGTTTGACAGAATTATAATAAATATAAACCCACACACCCTTTGACTCAGTAATCCCACTTCTGTTATGTGGCCTATAAACCTATGGGGGGAGTACTCTGCAGCCATTCAAAAGAAGAAGGTGGAGCTTTGTGTGGCATTATGTGTCAATATCCAAGGTATGTTATTAAGTGAAAAAAACAAGGTGCAGGATAGTGAGAGCATTCAGTATGCTTCCATAAGTAAAGAAGATTATACTACAATTCATATTTGGGCACAGAAATTTTCTGGGAGGATACACAAAACCTAATGATGGCTTTCATGGAAAGGTAAACTGAGGGGTTCAAGCTAGAAGAATTTACCAAATACATGGTTACTTTTCAAAAAAAAAAAAAAAAACAGATAAACACACCAAAAGCAAAAAGATGGATGGATTCTGTTAGGAGTTAAGGTTGCTATGTTTATAGAGGTTTTTGCTGAAGAACAGTAATTACCTGTTAGAATTGTCTTAAGGGGCTTTTATCGTATGCTTAAAAAGAAATGAGGTAGTCAGATGACCTCTCCAACTTCTGGTGATTGTCAATTTAAAACACTATTCACCTACATTAAAATAAATGTCAAGGGTATGATACATATGTGTGTTAGGCTGATATACACATTACACACAAGCTCTTTTTCTCAACTATAGGAGTTCCAATTTCATCTGCTGTCGCAGGTGTAGCAATAGGATTGGTCACTAAAAACAATCCTGACAAGGATGAAATAGAAGATTATCGATTGCTGACAGATATTCTGGCAAGTATATCCACATTTTCAAATATTTAAGAGTGAAGATTGTGCATTTTTATAAACATTGTATGTTTAGAAGAATAATATTACTTGAGAAATAAAGGTCCTTGTGCTTACTTTCTTCTTCTGAATACTAGCCTTGAATTTTATAGGATGTGAGCTTATATATATATATATATATATATATATATATATATATATATATACACATACATATATTACACTATAAATATTCATAATGGCTCACTTTAGGGTGGTTGTAAATGAATCCTTATGCATTTATGTGAGGAACATGATTTGAAAGTGATTTTGTGATGAAATAGTTACAACTTAAAGTCACAAATGAGAAGCAGTAGTTAATGTAGAAGACACTTCTTTGTTTTTAGTCTCAGAAGATATGGTTTACTTCTAAAGCTATTTTTTTTAATTCTTCTACAGTAACTGGGTGAATTTTATTTTTGTTTAAAACCATATCATACTTTCTTAAATTCTTTCAGGGAATCGAAGATTACAATGGTGACATGGATTTCAAAATAGCTGGCACTAATAAGGGAATAACTGCATTACAGGTATTTTAAAACCTATTTTGTTTCACGTGTATAATACTTAAATAATGTCATGAAGTAATATTTGTATCATTTTTTGGCTTTTCCATCTTAGGCTGATATTAAATTACCCGGAATACCAATAAAAATTGTAATGGAGGCCATTCAACAAGCCTCAGGTAAGCTAACCCAGTGTGCCTGATTCTCTTTCCATCATTGTTCATTTGTTCATGGCAACTATAATTCCCATTAAACTTATTATTAAAAATGGGCTTGTTTATAAAATACCACTTTAGAAAATGAAATTTCACGTAACAACCTTTATGAGAGACCAGAGAAAATTCAATTTTTATAGGATTTATGGAGAAGGGGGATTATAAGTAGACTTGTAAAGGTAATTAGGATATGAAGAGCTTTGTTTATTAAGTTAAAGAATTTGGGTTTTACTCTGGAAAAACTAAGAATGCTGCTATATCTGATCTCATTTATTTTATATACAGTTGACCTTTGAACAATGTGCTCAAACTGCATGGGTCCACTTAAATGTGGATTTTTTTTTTTTTTTAAGTTTACAGCAAAGGCATTTATTTTCTACTGCCCATCCCAGTCTCCATCCAACCAACTAAAGGCATCTCACACAAAGGTCATGCCTGCTATACTCTTGACTATCCTGAGAGGCCTTATCAGCAGCCCCCCAGGGGGCCCATAATTGTGCTGGGCTAAAGATCACCCAATGTGCTGAGAGGGTGGTCCTGTCAAGCACCCAGGGCTGGCTGGCAGAAGCCTCAGCTGAAGGAGGAACATGCCCAGAGGGCAGGACAGCACTGCATAGGAGTCCCTGCACAAAGTCTTCAGTGCTTGTGGGGTTGGGGAGGGACCCACTCCCCACCATGGCACCTTGGCCTCAAGGAACCCCTGGAGACCAGTGCACTCACAAGTGGCCACAGGTGTCAGGTGAATGGCCATGGGACTGTGGTACATGCCCAGGCAAATAAGGCAGCTATACTTTGTCTCCACACAACTGTTGCTACCTGCAGGCCACCCAGAGGTTGCCACTACTGAGCCTAGGCAATCAGGCTATGAAGCTCTGCCATTCTACAGGGAGCCCCCATCCTAGCTAAGCTACCTGACATGCCTGTGTACAAATATTTTTCAGTAAACATACAGTATTGTAAATGTATTTTCTGTTCCTTATGGTTTTCTTTTTTTTTTTAATTTTTTAAATGTTTTTTATTTATTTAGAGGGAGGGGGGCAGAGAGAGCAAGAGAGAGAATCCCAAGCAGTCTCCATGCTGTCAGCATAGAGCCCAACCTGGGGCTTGAACTCATGGACCATGATGAGATCATGACCTGAGCCAAAATCAAGAGTCGGATGCTCAACTGACACCCAGGCATCCATCCTATGGTTTTCTTAATGACATTTCCTTTTCTCTAGCTTACTTCTTTGTAAAAATACAGTGTATAATATATATAACATACAAAATGTATTACTTAACTTTTTTGTTATGGATAAGGCTTCCAGGCAACATAGGCTATTAGTAGTTAAGTTTTGGGGAATCAAAAGTTAGACACGAATTTTCTAAGCAGGGGTAGATGTCCCTAGTCTCTAGTTGTTCAAGGTCAACTGTAGTTACAATTTTTATCATGTTTTTATCTCTTGTAGTGGCAAAGAAGGAGATCTTACAGATTATGAACAAAACTATTTCAAAACCTCGAGCATCTAGAAAAGAAAATGGACCTGTTGTAGGTAACGCATTAAAATTATTTATTCCATGATAAGGTAAACATTAATATATAAAAGTATGTTATTACTTTTAAATTTCCTTTAACTCTATACATAAAACAGAAATATTATAAATACTTCCATAGTGAAAATGCTTTAAATTTGGGGAGATATTTTTAGACATTAGAACTTTCAAAAACTTTAGTCAAATAACTATTTTTCTATTTTACATGAAATATTTTTACGTGTGACTAAGTCAAAAAAAAATCTTGACTGATCAAGATATGTTTTATATTCATATACATATTTGAGTTATTTATAATTTTGTCTGTACTACATTTCAGAAACTATTCAGGTTCCATTATCAAAACGGGCAAAATTTGTTGGACCAGGTGGATATCACTTAAAAAAGCTTCAGGCTGAAACAGGTGAGAGTTGTATGAAGTTTGGGGGTTTTAATGCTAGGCCATGTAAGGGTCCATTTCATCTCTATTGTGATGCTCCAAAAATATGTTTAAGAAAAGAACAAGAGAAAAGAATGTAACATTGACATGTCTTTACGTTTTCTGTATGCCTCTTAATAAATCAGCATTCATCCTTAACTGTATTCAAGAAGGATCACCTAGAATTCATCAGTTTCTTTGCAACATTTTAAAATTGAACATTTAGAAAAATGTTTAGTTTTCAACTTTAGAGGATTTTGCTGTAATCTTCTATTCTGTTTTTCACTTAGTCTTATTTAAGCTATTTTATTTAAAGAGTATGTATACAAAGTTTGTATACAAAGAGTTTGTATATAAAGAGTTTGTATACAAAGAAATAGTATACTTTGTTTTTTCTGGAAACAATCTAAGTTACCTAGTACTTACCAGCTTTGAAGTTATTGAGGGAAAATGAGAAGCAGAGTTGCCTTAACCAGCTTTTTAGTTGATAAACTGACATAATTTCATCCCTTACCCGTCTGTTCATCACTCCAAAGGGTAAGAGAAAGAAGAAAAAGTGAGGAAAACATTATAGTATAGTTTCTACTCATAATTAAGAGAGCAAAGCCAAACCTTCCAAAATTAGAACTTATATATGCTTTCTCCTGCCAAACTGTAGGCTCCAAGGGCACAGGGACACTGACTCACTGTTGTTTCCTTAGGGCTTAGCACAATGTCTGATACATAGCAGGTGTGCAATATGTATTTATTGGTGAATGAATCCTATCATTCCTAAAGCAGTGACTAAATATAACACAACCCTGCCCAGCTATTTACAGGTCAATCCCTTGCTGTCACATCTACTTTTTTTTTTAAGCTTATTTATTTATTTTGAGAAAGAGGGAGAGAGAATCCCAAGCAGGTTCTGTGATGTCAGCACAAAGTCCAGTGTGGGGCCCCAACTCACAAACCATGAGATCATGACCTAAGCCAGAACCAAGAGTCAGACACTCAACTGACTGACCACCCAGGCACCCCTCACATGAGCAAATTAACTTTAATATGTTAAATTATCTTTTTAAAAGGAGTAACTATTAGTCAGGTGGATGAAGAAACATTTTCTGTATTTGCACCAACACCCAGTGCTATGCATGAAGCAAGAGACTTCATTACTGAAATCTGCAGAGATGATGTAAGTATAGATCTTATAATACTTTTTTCTTTTCTCTTGCTATTTATTAATTTTTTTACTAATTTTGCACTTACAGCAAGAGCACCAACTAGAATTTGGAGCAGTGTATACTGCCACAATAACTGAAATCAGGTAATGCTTTTCTGGTTTTTATAAGATTTATAAGTGCACATTAACTTCACATTTGCATTATGTACTTTGAAAGTATAAGGTATTTAGATTTTATGTCAATTACCATAGAATCATTAATTATTTTTAAGGTATATTTTATTTTCTATACTAGTTTGTTTTCAATAAGATGATTCTGCGATTGTACTAATAGATTCTTACATCTGAATTGTTTTCTTAAACCAAATTTCCCACCATTTAAATCTTCTAATAGTAAACAGGCCCAGAAAAGACCTAGACCTTTTTCTTTCTTCTTTTTCTGGTAGTTTCTTGTTAGTTTGTTGTAAAGATAGTATTACTTAATGCCTAAGGAGTGCATTTTTTAAAATGTCAGCTTCAACATCAGCTGAAAAGATTGATTTTCAGAATGAGAAAATCCACTATCTAAGAAGAAAAAAAAACTGTATCAGATGTAGCCTGAATGTTCAAAGTGATATGAAATGAATAATAAAGAATAAAAACCAAAGGAGGGGCACCTGAGTGGCTCAGTCAGTTAAGTGTCTGTCTCTTGATTTCAACTCAGGCCATGATCTTACGGTTATAGGTTCAAGCCCCTGTGTTGCCAGCATGGAGCCTGCCTGGGATTCTCTCTCCCTCTCTTTCTCAAAATAAATAAATAAATATTTAAAAGTAAAATAAAATATTTAATGTCATTTCAAAATGTTTTGGGAAATACTATGAAAAGAAATACAGAAAAATATACAGTCTAAAAGCTTGTCCTTTTTATCTTTTCTCTGTACTTTGATTCACAAGTATTTAAATATGGGTTGTATGTTCAATTGAAAATATAAGTTAGAGAATCCTACTTTTTATTGTGTGTGTGTGTTTACTTTGTTCCCATATGAATACATAATCAGTTTGATTATCAGTACATACACAGATATTACTATTTTAACTAGCCTTATTTCCTTTTCAGAGACACTGGAGTAATGGTTAAACTATATCCAAATATGACTGCAGTACTGCTTCATAACACACAACTTGATCAACGAAAGGTAAAAAAAAATAAATAACTTAATTATTTTTAAAACTGCCTTAAAGGGGCGCCTGGGTGGCTCAGTTGGTTAAGCGTCCGACTTCGGCTCAGGTCATGATCTCACAGTTCATGAGTTCAAGCCCCGCATCGGGCTCTGTGCTGACAGCTCAGAGCCTGGAGCCTGTTTCAGAATCTGTGTCTCCCTCTCTCTCTCTGACCTTCCCCCATTCATGCTCTGTCTCTCTCTGTCTCAAAAATAAATAAACGTTAAAAAAAATTAAAAAAAAATATAAAACTGCCTTAAAATAATCATAGTGAAATTACCTGGGTTGATGAGGATTGTGTACTTTCTCCAATACTAGCCTAAATAAAGAAAACTAAAAATGACAAAAGGTTCTTATACTCTTTAACACAGATGTTTATATTTGTTCTTTCATGATGGAATAGAAACATTCTTGAGTATTACATCTAGAGTTAACACGTGGCAGTTAACTACAAATATCTAGTTGTAGCCCTGTCTTGCCACTTTTCTTGGCCAACCAAGCATGGCAGGATAAAGCTAAAAATATGAAACTATTCAAGAAAACTATGGGGGGGCAGAGAATAGGAGTATTTGGTTTACCAAACCTTGAAATATAAAGCTATACAGAATAAAACAGTGTATTACTGGGGCGCCTGGGTGGCGCAGTCGGTTAAGCGTCCGACTTCAGCCAGGTCACGATCTCGCGGTCCGTGAGTTCGAGCCCCGCGTCGGGCTCTGGGCTGATGGCTCAGAGCCTGGAGCCTGT